CGGCTGCTCTGGTAGGGTGGAGGTAGGCAGTCATTGTTCAGCTGCCTGGTAGGTGGAGGTAGGCAGTTATTGTTCGGCTGCCTGGTAGGTGGAGGCAGGTGGCTGCTCAGCTGCCTGGTAGGTGGAGTGTAGGCTGTTGGCTGTTCAACTGCCTGGTAGGTGGGAGATAGGGGCTGTTGGCTGTTCGGCTGTGCCTGGTAGGTGGGAGGTAGGCTGTCATTGTTCAGCTGCCTGCAGGTGGAGTGTAGGCTGTCATTGTTCAGCTGTCTGGCAGGTGGAGGCGTAGGCAGTCATTGTTCAGCTGCCTTGGTAGGGGTGGAGGTATTGTTATTGTTCGGTTGCCTGGTAGGTGGAGGTAGGCTGGTATTGTTCAGCTGCCTGTAGAGGAGGTAGGGCAGTCATTGTTCAGCTGCTGTAGGTGGAGGTAGCAAATGTTGTTCAGCTGCCTGGTAGGTGGAGGCAATATTGTTCAACTGCCTGGTAGGGAGATAGGCTATTGTTCAGTTGCCTGGTAGGTGGAGTGCAGGCTGTTATTGTTCAGCTGCCTGGTGGTGGAGGTAGGCAGTCATTGTTCAGCTGCTGCCTGGTAGGTGGAGGTAGGCTGTTATTGTTCAACTGCCTGGCAGGTGGAGATAGGGGCTGTTATTGTTCGCTGCCTGTAGGTGGAGGTAGGCAGTCATTGTTCAGCTGCCTGGTAGGTGGAGTGAGGGCTGTCATTGTTCAGCTGCCTGGTAGGTGGAGGTAGGCTGTCATTGTTCAGCTGCCTGGCAGGTGGAGTGGTGCGGGTCAGGCTGTTCAGCTGCCTGGTAGGTGGAGGTAGCTGTTATTGTTCAGCTGCCTGGTAGGTGGAGGTAGGCTGTTATTGGGTTCAACTGCCTGGTAGGTGGAGGTAGGCTGCCTGGGCTGTTCAGCTGCCCTGGTAGGGGTGGAGGCAGGCTGCCACAGGCGCTGCCTGGTAGGGTGGAGGTAGGCTGTCATTGTTCAGCTGCCTGGTAGGTGGAGGTAGGCTGTTATTGTTCGAAGGCCTGGTAGATGGAGGTAGGCTATTGTTCAACTGCTCTGGTAGGTGGAGGGCTGGTTATTGTTCAGCTGCCTGGTAGTGGAGGCAGGCTGTTATTGTTCAGCTGCCTGGTAGGTGGAGGTAGGCTGTTATTGTTCAACTGCCTGGTAGTGGGTGGAGTGTAGGCAGTCATTGTTCAGCTGCCTGGTAGGTGGAGGTAGGGCAATGGTTGTTCAGCTGCCTGGTAGGTGGAGGTAGGCAGTCATTGTTCAGCTGCCTGGTAGGTGGAGGCAGGCTGTTGTTCAACTGCCTAGTGGTGGAGTGCGTAGGGCAGCCTGCTGTTCAGCTGCCTGGTAGGTGGAGGTAGGCTGTTATTGTTCAGCTGCCTGGTAGGTGGAGAGTGTAGGCTGTTATTGTTCAACTGCCTGGTAGGTGGAGGCAGGCTGTTATTGTTCAACTGCCTGGTAGGTGGAGCAGTAGGCAATGGGCTGTTCAGCTGCCTGCAGGTGGAGGTAGGCTGTTATTGTTCAGCTGCCTGGCAGGTGGAGGCAGGCTGTTGTTGTTCAACTGCTGGTGGTGGAGGCAGGCAGTCATTGTTCAGCTGCCTGGCAGGTGGAGGTAGGCTGTTATTGTTCAGCTGCCTGGCAGGTGGAGGCAGGCTGTTATTGTTCAACTGCCTGCAGGTGGAGGTAGGCTGTTACACTGAACTGCCTGGTAGGGTGTGGAGGTAGGGGCAGTCATTGTTCAGTTGCCTGGTAGGTGGAGTGTGGGCTGTTGGTTGTTCAGTTGCCTGGTAGGTGGAGGTAGGCTGTTATTGTTCAGCTGCCTGGTAGGTGGAGGCAGGGCAGCTGGGCTGTTCGGCTGCCTGGTAGGTGGAGGTAGGGGCTGTCAGGCTGTTCAGCTGCCTGGTAGGTGGAGGTAGGCTGTTATTGTTCAGCTGCCTTGGTAGGTGGAGGTAGGCAGTCATTGTTCGGCTGCCTGGTAGGTGGAGTGTAGGCTGTCATTGTTCAGCTGCCTGGTAGGTGGAGTGTAGGCTGTTATTGTTCAGCTGCCTGGGTAGGTGGGAGGCAGGCAGTCTGGCTGTTCAGCTGCCTGTTAGGGTGGAGGTAGGCTGTCATTGTTCAGCTGCCTGGCAGGTGGAGTGTAGGCTGTCATTGTTGCTGAGCTGCCTGGTAGATGGAGGTAGCTGTCATTGTTGAGCTGCCTGGTAGGTGGAGGTAGGCTGTAAATTGTTCAGCTGCCTGGTAGGTGGGAGTGCAGGCTGTCATTGTTGAGCTGCTTGGTAGGTGGAGTGTGTGGCAGTCATTGGGTTCAGCTGCCTGGTAGTAGGAGGTAGGCAGTCATTGTTCAGCTGCCTGGTAGGTGGAGGTAGGCTGTTATTGTTCAGCTGCCTGGTGGGTGGAGTGTAGGCTGTCGGCTGTTCAGCTGCCTGGCAGGTGGAGGCAGGCTGTCAGCTGTTCCAGCTGCCTGGTAGGAGGAGGTAGGCAGTCATTGTTCAGCTGCCTGGTAGGTGGAGGCAGGCAGTCATTGTTCAGCTGCCTGTAGTGGGAGGCAGGCAGTCATTGTTCAGCTGCCTGGTAGGTGGAGTGCAGGCTGTCATTGTTCAGCTGCCTGGTAGAGGAGGCGTAGGCAGTCATTGTTCAGCTGCCTGTAGGTGGAGGAAGGTCATTGTTCAGCTGCCTGGTAGGAGAGTGTAGGCTGGTCATTGTTGAGCTGCCTGGTAGGTGGAGGTAGGCTGTCATTGTTCAGCTGCCTGGTAGATGGATAGGCTGTCATTAAGCAGAGCTGCTCTGGTAGGTGGAGGTAGGCTGTCATTGTTCAGCTGCCTGGTAGGAGGAGTGCGCAGGCTGCTCATTGTTGAGCTGCCTGGTAGGTGGAGTGTAGGCTGGCTGTTCAGCTGCCTGGTAGGTGGAGGTAGGCAGTCACTGTTCAGCTGCTTGGTAGATGGAGGTAGGCTGTCATTGTTGAGCTGCCTGGTAGGTGAAGGTAGGCTGTCAGCTGTTCAGCTGCCTGGTAGTGGAGGTAGGCAGTCATTGTTCAGTTGCCTGGTAGGTGTGGAGGTAGGCTGGTATTGTTCAGCTGCTCTGGTAGGTGGAGGTAGGCAGTCATTGTTCAGCTGCCTGGTAGGGGAGGCAGAGGTAGGCAGTCATTGTTCCAGTTGCCTGGTAGGTGGAGGTAGGCTGGTATTGTTCAGCTGCCTGGTAGGTGGAGGTAGGCAGCTGTTCAGCTGCTCAGTAGGTGGAGTGTAGGCTGGTTAATTGTTCAGCTGCCTGGTAGGTGGAGGTAGGCTGGTATTGTTCAGCTGCCTGGTAGGAGGAGGTAGGCTGTCATTGTTCAGCTGCCTGGTAGGAGGAGGTAGGCTGTCATTGTTCAGCTGCCTGGTAGGAGGAGGTAGGCTGTCATTGTTCAGCTGCCTGGTAGGAGGAGGTAGGCTGTCATTGTTCAGCTGCCTGGTAGGTGGAGGTAGGCTGGTATTGTTCAGCTGCCTGGTAGGAGGAGGTAGGCTGTCACTGTTCCTACTTATTAAAAAGAAATGTGGGAGTGAAGGCCATGGTGAGGCAGCCACAACACCTGAGCCACTCACCCTTAGGTCACAGTGGTTCCCAAGCTGGGTGGCGCCCTCCTCCCAGGGATGGGGGAGGGGGCGTGAGGCCATGTGAAAAAAATCATATATAACCGCAATTATTTTCTTTTTTCCTTAGTTAGAAATTTTAAATATATTCAGTGAAATTGTGTAACAATCAATGTTTTCTTAGTGTATTTCAATCTTCCCCATATGCACGATACAGAAAAAATAATTATAAATTGGTTGATCTTGAAAGTAATATAATTGCGAGTACATGATGGTAAATCGATTAAAAGTTTCTAAATTTTATTAAAAAAAATGGGGGTGACAGGCGTCAGGATTTGGTAAAAAAAATGGGGGGGGGGAGGGAAGTGCCATATGAAATAATTTGGAAACCACTGAAATAGGAAATATTTTTAAGGTTCAAAGTTGGCCTGATATTGACTTCTGTGTGTGTGTGTGTGTGTGTGTTTGTACTCGAAACCTCCTTAGTGTGTTCAGTCCACAAGTCGATGTTACGTCAACTATGAACACGCTGTATACTGAGCCTTCGGTACACAAGGGGGCAGCGTTGTCGGCACTGCACTTGACCACCTTCATTTTCCCAACTGTTAAGTTTATTACCCATTCACAGATGAGTGAACTAGTGGGATCAGGAGTAAACTAGCGATCCTTTGGGCAGGAAGCGATCACTGTATCCATTATGCCCTCTCTGTACTTACACCTGTAAGGTGTGCCGTGAGCATCTGAACTCATGTTAGCTTAGCATCTCATTTTTACGACAAAAAATGTCTTATGAATTTTACAGAGCACTGAGGACACCTACATGATAACTCGCACGCTAATTAAATGAAAAAAATATGCGAGAATTAAAAGACGGTACGACAATCTTAACTTCTTAAGTCTTCTTTGACAAGTAACAACCTTCTCTCTCTCACATAACCTTTGACCAAAATGAGTTTTGAAACTATTTTATTTGTATCACCTAACATTCGTCCTCCAGCTAATTTCATCTAAAGATTAACCACCCTAGCACTAACAAAGCCTAACCTTTACCTGCCAAACAAAACTGGTCACATTTTCCGCAGGAGAAATACCGCTGTTATAGACGAATTAGTCCTGCAGTCAACCACCTCCCAGCCCAGTATACACAGGCAAATTTCCTATGGTCATTTAATTTCATTCTCGTTAGAAAAACGAACATATCTGTAAAGATCCCTACACCCTGTACCACAGGGAATAAATTTTATAGAACCACAAGTGAACTCAAGAGGTGACAACCCCGTAAACGTGAAGGAGGGAGGGGCACTGACTCAACCTACGAGGGCTTCACAAGAGTCTACACTATTAGTGTGGAGGCAGCCGGGCTAGTTATTTAACTGTCACTTGTTAAGCTATTAGTTCACGGCTCCTTAGCATTGGTGAGGTACTAACCCAGGGGACACAGTAGCCGTGGATGGCGGAAGTGGCGGCGTAGGTGGTGAGATACGGCTGACGGTCCAAGCAACAGGTGACCCGCCATGTCACGGCGCGGTGGAAGAAAGGTTGAGCGAAGACATCGGTGAGGGGCGCCGCTCCCAGGGCCTCGCACTCCCCTGCACCCACCGTCGACACCAGCCGAGACACCGCCCGAGGTGCTCCCGCCCACAGTAAGAGACGCCGCAATTTCCGCAGGCCAAAGGACGCCACCAGGGCGTTGCGACTAAGAAGTAGCAGTGGAGCGGGGCTACGAGGAATGTTGGTGTCCACGTCATTCTCAGTCCTGGCGCGCCGGAATGGATGGTAAGTGTGGAATGTTCCCCCTAGCTGCTGCAGGAGGCTCTGAACGGCCGCAGGCAGCCCCAGCGCTGCCGCAGCCGTGGGTCGCCATGGTGCCGGGGCCCGGGGCAACAAGGAGTTGGGACGCGGCGCTGGGGCCACCACAGTCATGGTGACAAGGGGACAGCGCTACACGTGCAACTGTGTGTTTTATCCTTGTTAACACGTGTCTTAGGTCACTAACAAGATTTAAGCATTTTTTTATTAGTATACCAACTGTTGCTAAATTAAATAGGAGAATCACTACTGTTGGCACTGTAACACATCAACAAACTTTGCAACACCTTTTAACACTCAACTATCACAACAAAGCCGAGCACAAGTGCACCCGCGTGTACGGACAACTCAGGTGAAGAGTTGTTCTGGCACGGATTGACGTCTGCTATATCACCTGCTTGTCCTCCGATGCCGGAACATGTCGTACGTTTTCATTATCTTACCCCATTAAATTTTACCTAATTAGATGAATCTGTTTATTAAAATTATATTTAAACATATCTTAAAAGTTAGTTGTTAGAAAACACAAGGGAAATATAGTTGTTAATATGAATATTCCTACGCCCGGCAGCTCGGAGTATTTGGCGCATGTGGAGTTTGTTTTGACGGTAGCCAACTATAAGTTTGTGTTGTGACGGCGGCTGCGCTTATACCTAAAAATTTACAGAATTGTGTAGTTTATTTCCACCTCATTCATGTTTGTGTAAGTATTTTAGATATAGTGTTAATTTCAGAAAACACCAACTACAGAAAATTAAAACATATAAAGTGCCATTACTGTGAGTGTCTTGGTAACTTTAAATACATTGGTTGTCGCTTCTTGACACCCACCAGACTAAACATTCTTAATGAATACTGTTCATTGAATTAGTTTAGGAAATATTTTACTGTTGATATTTTTTTGTATTTAAGAAAAGAGAGCCAAGCTAAAAATTAATATTATTAGTAGTAGTAGGAGATAGCAAAGTTGCAGTGGGACAATACTGTACAGCAGATTTGATGGTTAGAAGGAGGGTACGGGAATTTTATTCACGACTGCAAGCAGTGTGTGGTGATTAATGACACGAAATTGGCATGCGTACCGTTCAATGACAAGCGTATCACCAGGGCAGTGTACTGGGACCGTTGCCGTTTGTTTCATAAATGATATGCCAGAAGCTATTCACGCCTGCATATAAATGTTTGCAGACAATGACAAGTTATTCAGGGAAATTAAGAACGAAATAGAGTGTGAAGAGCTACAAAAAGACCTCTGTCGGCTTCAGGAGTGGTTGGAGGAATGGCTGCTAAGATTTTAATGCCACGAAGTGTAAGAGGATGCTCCCAGGTCGTACCAACAGTAGGGAAGCATAACACATGTCCCAACGGGACGAAGAAACAGCATTAACAGAGATCGAACCTGGGAGTATGTTGACAATGAACTGAAGTTCTCGGGCAATTGTGAGAAGATGAACCAATTAACTAAGCTTATAAGACGTCTTATAAGAAGGTTGTTCGGATATTTCTTTGGTACTCCCCGTTTGGAGTACTGTCACCCCGCCTGGTCCTAAGATATGCTAGAGACTGTCAATTGATTGAAAAAGGAGGCCACCAGACTGGTGCTGGGACTATGGCACCTCAGCTACACAGACAGATCAGAACGCCTGCAATTGCCAAGCTTATACTACAGTAGGGCAAGGGGGACTTAATTGAAATTTATTATCATCTTCGAGGGCACTACTCAGTTGAGTGTCCATACCTGGAGCTGGCACCTGCCCGCCCCACTAGGGGTCACAGCTCAAGGTTGAAGAAGCCACAAGTTCAGAAAATCGTCAACTCAAACTTTTTCGGAGTGAAAATTGTAAACTCACGGAAAAATCCGCCAGTGTTGTGACAGCACTGAATGTGAGCTTTTTCAAACCCAGACTTGACCAACATTGGGGCAGGTTGATACATTCAGGAGCCAGTGCATGCTCAGTAATTGCCAACATTGCATAACAGACATGTGACCGACCGCCCAAGCAGCAAATGAGCTGATCAGTGGCGAAGATCATAAAAGTAAAAGTGATAGTTCCAAAACTACCCAGTAACGTTTAGACAAGGAAGAGGGGAGGGAGAAGGATTTGTCAGATCACCACAGGTCTTTACTTGCCGTGACTCTGGCTATTAGGAGGGCAGGGGTGGATCCAGGGTGGGGGACGGGGAGGGGGTCCGAACGCCCTTTTATCATCAGAAATTCTTATACTTTTCCTTTAATGGAGTATTGTACTCAGGTGTTTTAACAGTAAAAAGTAATTACTATTGACCTCAAAATTTCTCCTAATATCAGGCGCACATGGCTTCAAAAAAGGCCTCAAAATGACCCCTCCCTCCCACCCCCCCGAAAACCAAGCTGGTGTAGTGGATACCTCCCCTACAAACGCTGTTTGTCGCTGAGTAGCCGACCCCGCGAATTCCCCAGTGTATGCCTCGTGGTCTAGGTCAACCAGCGCCGCCTTACATGACGGAGGTCAACTATTAAGCCACGCCTACCTCCGCTACAATAGACCTGACCTCATGGTGACCGCTCTTTCTACCTACACCAACCAGCAAGCAACACCTCCTCCTCCGCCTGCCTGGCGGTCCTCGCTCCCGCCGGCGAGCATGGCGACCCACAAGCTTGTCCTCCTCTGATCACCCTCACCAACCAGCTCTCTCTACTCAACGCTTATAACCATGCTGCCTTCCCAGCACCAAGCTGCATTGTACATCCAATACAATATGTATACAGAGAGCACATTGTGAGTTTCCTTTCTCCATCCCATCCTGAGTAGGAACCAAACAACCTGTACCCCACACTGGCACTATGCTCGCCATGTGCCCCCCCACCCACAATTTCTTGGACCCCCTGGAGGGGTAGTATACTGTACAGTATAGTACAGCACTAGCGAGGTCATCCTAAAACTGTATCTTGCTCTTATGAGACCACACCTGGATTACGCAGTTCAGTTCTGGTCACCGTACATGTATTACAGAATGAATATAGAATCCTTGGAAAGAATTCAGAGGAGAATGACAAGACTTATCCCGGGCATTAGGAACCTTGAGTACAGAGACAGGTTAAAGCGTCTTAATTTGCACTCCCTCGAGAGACGTAGAGCGAGGGGGCGACCTGATAGAGGTGTATAAGTGGAAGGCAGGGCTAAACAAAGGGGACATTACAAAGGTACTCAAACTATCCAACCAGGAGCGAACTCGTAACAATGGTTTTAAATTAGACAAATTTAGATTTAGGCGTTAAATAGGTAAACACTGGTTTGGAAACAGAGTAGTGGATGAATGGAACAAGTTACCAAATATCATCATTAACTCGAATACGCTGAATAGCTTCAAACATAGGTTGGATGCTTATATGAGCAATAGGGGTTGGGTGTAAACGGGACTGCCCAGTATGGGCCAATAGGCCCGCTGCAGTTTCCTCCATTCTTATGTTCTTATGTACTATAAAGAATGTACAGGTAGCAAAAAAGGATCTTCACCTCTGGTCTGATGTCTTTCAAAATGATCTTTGTGACTGAGATTGTGTTCATTTGGTAGAGTTGGTCTTTCTGATTTTGTGAAGCTTTGTGTTAATTATTGAGATTTCAGTCTCTTTTTCACGTCCTCTTTCAGGCAATGTAGTCTATGTCACCCAAGGCCTTACAGCATTTATTACCCCCTGTACACAATCAACTAGTACCTCCTCCCCACCTTCACCAACTAACTCCATAAACTGTACAGTAGTTCCATACTGGTCTGTCAACACTTTTATTGTTACTCATATATTTATCATGCTTACCTGTACTGTACATTAAAGGTCACTTTTGGATTACTCCTAAACCTATCTATTCACTTTATCACATGGCCTACAAGAATTTTTAAAAGAACAAAAAGCCTCTTCTTTTTCAGAGCTTGTCCACAACATATCAATGAAAAAAATAGTCCACACAATATCTTTCCTCCCTAAATCCCCTCAGCTCCCTACCAATGAGGAACTCTGGTAACTTCTTTAAATAAAATATATAAACTACATTACAGTACACTTCACCACCTATGCTATAAAATATTGTTCTACAATAAGCCTTGGATTTGCCTAATTTCCTTTTCCTTTGTATGATGGAATGATCTCAACTACAATATGATGGGTTAGGTTTCTGAAAAACCCATCATAGGTCAAAATATCATAAATTGGGATTATAATGACTGGTATCATCGAGAAAAAATCGTTCACTAATAATATACAGTACCTAAAACACAATTAAAAACACTCATCACATCACATTGCAAATAAGGAGGTGGTCTTAATACATCATTATTTTTGAAGCAGAATATCGTAGGTAGGAAGATCGTAAATCGGGGGATACCCGTACTTCCAATTTTGGGGCTTTTTATCTACTCTACCATCTATTCATACAAAAAATCTACCAGGTATTTACAGTCTTGGTAATCTTGCTATGTGTTTTATGTACTGTACACCTGTTGTTCCAAGTCTAGTCTTGTAATTGTTTTCTTTGGTAAAACAGTATGTAATTTCTTCATTTTACTCTATCAACTGACTCATACTTCAGGCTACTTATGTTAATAGTGTTCATAAATCTGCAGAGGTATGAAGAGACATATCATAAGAGTCATATGATTTATTAACTCTTAAAAGAGTAAGTGTCTTTGGAAAATACACACAGCATTTCACTCTGTGAATCAGTTGCTGATCTCTTGCATACTTGATCATCTTTAAGATCTATAAAACTAAAGTTCATGCCAGTGAACCACAATGGTAGCCATCTTTGTTCCTTTCTGAAAAGTAAACAAGGGGGCCAAAAACACAAATTCAAAGTTCCCATAAAGTAAACCTTATCCATCACTTGCCACTGGTAACATTGCAAAACTAAATACAGTACAGTAATACCTCGCTTTACGCGGTCAATTGAACCCACGGAGGCCCGCGTAAAGTGAACAACAGAACATATGGGATTAATTGAAATAGAGACCGGGCCGACCCCCAAACTCCACTTTTTCAGACACAATACGTACGTTGTAGTAAAAATAACTTCTTAATTTTATGATGGTATGCACACACAATTAATAATTAAGAGAAATATCAATAATATTAGGTTTTTTAACACTTACATTTGTAGAAAAGATGGCTGGGCACACGGGGATGGGGGGGTTGGTTCCGAGGCAGAGGGCAGATTATTGGCCCTCACCTGTATCACTTGTATCACTATCCACCACAGAGGCTTGCAGGGCCTCTTTGTCAAACCCCTCAAAGTCCATATCCTCACTATCACTGACTTGGGCAGGCTGTGGTGGGTGGCGGGTGAAGAACTCGGGAATGTTTTGATGACTGGGCGACCTTGTGCGCACCCTGCCCGCGCCGCTTCCCGCGTATATGAGTAGATGCACCGCGTAAAGTGAACATTCCGGTTCTGGCGGGGTACCGCGTAAATGTAAAAACGTGTAAAAAAAAACCGCGTAAAGCGGGATATTACTGTACTAATAATATTTTCTTATTGTTAGATTTTGTGATTTTAATGTGTCTGCCCCTTGGGATCAATTTACAGCTGGTGACAGATTCCAGTAAGGCATTGGGGTACAAAAACCAAGGTGCAAAGTTTCTAAATACAGTACAGTACAGGTATGAAATAATAAAAATAATCAATTAAGTTTTTGTTGCGATGCAGGTGAATGTATTTCATACCAAGTATGTTTCTCAGTTTCTGCAGTGTAATATTTTGAGGTTCACACAACACTGTGCTATGAATTGAAGCCAGTTTTTAAAAATTGGTTTTAATTACAAGATACAGAGATCCATCATGTCATTTCATAAATGAGAACTTCCTATAAACGTATTGTGTATGAATACAGTACATGTACTGTACTCAAAAGTTTCCCATACACAAAATAAAAGAAATACAGTACATTGCTATTTATAATCATAACATATAACTTTACAGTAATTCATCTGAATAAGGATATCAATGCATGGGATTTATGGTACAGTATTAACATACTGTATTGAAAAAAAAAGAAGAAAATAAGTACTAAATGCTTCTGTAAAAAATCAGACTATAAAATGGTCCTATTGTGTGGCAGCCTCAAAGACTACAGCTGACAACTTATTGTCCACTTTTGATGTGGCAATTGCTATGTGATTCCACAAGTGACCTCACAGCTTGTCCTAAGGGATCAACCTAATTTGTGTGGATTACACATGCTTAGTTGCACATAAAAATCCTTATAAATGGGGTCCCCAGGTTACGAACGGGTTCTGTTCCTGAAGACGTTGTAAGTCAGAATTGTACATAAGTCAGAACACATGCTGCATTATGCATACCGTATTTACAAAACAATGCTTCAAATCACACTATATCATAGCCCAAGTCTTTATATACATCTAAAATGACTTAATTGAAGAGAATAGAAGAAATAGAATGACAAAATACAGTACAAAATAAGTCATCAGGTAAATAAAATATTGTACATTTGAAGTTTAACCCCGTTCATATCAGCGTTCGTTCGTAAGTCGGGGACCTCCTGTACTGTACTAATTTGTCCCTCAAAATTATGTGTGAATAATGCATTCAGACCCCTAAATTAAAAGAATTTAATAGCTGTAATGATTATAAACACTGCTAAATATATATTTTCAAACAATCCTTTTTGGGTGGCACAACATAATAGCTTGGATTTTTAAATAATTTCTCTTTACCACTTATGGACCATGAAAAACGATTATTCAAGCTTGCCTCAACCTTATGATGTATCAAGTTTGAATAATTATGTTAAAAATATATACTGGTATAGTCATAGATGCCTTAATATAAGGACTGGAAACACTCAGTCTCAGGGTATGAAACTTAGGTCCAATGCGTAAAATGCATCATCATGAAATCAGTTTCCTCTCAGGCATGCACACACACAAACATACTCCTCCACACACAGATTCACATACAAACACACCTACTTCTCCACACAATCACCCATACCTTGCTCTATAGATGCCTTAATGGTATGTCCTGCCCACAGAGGTACAAGGTGATTGTGTACCAGTTGGCCAGGAGACTATGCCTCTGGCAGGTGGTGCTCTGTTCTGCTGTTCATCATCCCTCAGTTCATGGTAAGTAATTCTCACACGAATGGTAACTAACAAGGTGAGATGACAAAGTATCAAACATACTAGATGTCAGTAGTTTGTTTTGGTATTGTGTCAAATGTTTATGCATAGCAGCTATTCTCTAAATGACATTTCCTTATATTATCTATTATTTAGCTATTGTTAGTCATATAAAGGATGTTTGGATTATTTAACAGTTTTATTTAATGTATAAAAGTAATGTATTTTGTAAAACACATTTCATTATAATTTACATATTTTTCAACTATTTTCAGTCATTTAAGAGACACATTAAGTCATCCACAAGAATTTTTTTTTATTTTCCTTTAATTGGTTAGTTAAAAGTTAATTAATAAGAGGTTAGAAACTTAAAAAAAAAAAACAAAGTGCAATTGAATTAACAAATCAAACTGTGAAACCGTCAATGGACCCAAGTATGGGCAATGTCAGTCCTTATATTAAGGCCTCTATGGGTACAGTATATACTTTCCTGAATGCATAATGCATATGCATGTTTGATTTGGAGGAAACTTTTGTCTACCCAATTCAGTAATCACAAATATTATCCTTACAGGTGAACAGCATAGTATACAGTAATAATGGAGAATTTTTCAATTTTAAACTTGTCACCAGCACAGATGGTTGACATATTACCTGTACTGTACATGAATATTCCTTGTACACATGCGCATTATTGTACAAATGAGGCTGTTGACTGCAACTTTTGTACTACAGAGAAACAAGTGTAAAAAAAAATTAGTTAAGGGTCATAAGGGTTTACAGGTTTTAATGGGCAGTATTTATCTATTAAACAATGTTTTTGTTGGAAAATTTATTTCATAATTTGTACAAGATATAATTTACTTTCTTTCATAATAAGTTACACAATTAGGCAATTCATTACTTGCCTCGAATTTACAAATCTCAAAACTTATTGTTACCTACTTACACAGTACAATACAGTATAGGCATTTCAAATTTTGCTGCATAACTATTTACACATTTATGTAACTACTTATGGTTGCCTATTGTCATTACACCCCATAATCAAATTATATATTATTTTTTAAGGTTCGTTAAGTATCACTGGCCTAGAACCTTGTTTTCTCTGATTTTAATTAATTTTTTCTATTAACAGCTGGCAAATCCTAACACAAGCAAGTTCACATCTTTCCTGCTATCACAGTTCTACTGTATATGAAATCTGATAGCAATAATTTTTACAGTAGTGAATTAAGGTATATATACAAATTGTATAAAAAAGACCGAAAACTTGAAATACAATATCAACAAAATGTACAAATTAATTTGAGGGCATACAGTACAGGTATTCATTAATACAAGGGTCAGTGACACACCAGTCCATAATTGTGGCTATAATACTGTACTGTATGTCTAAGTTATAGTTTGTTTGTAATTCACATCTCTCTCCCCCTAAATGGAAGAACAAATTTACTGCTTGCTCCCTTGTAAAAACTCATCATCTTGATGGTCGAGTGTATCCCATTGTTTAGTCATCAGTGATGGGAATAAGAGTCTTAAGTTTAAGTCTGTTGGGTAATTTTGATAGAACCATTTCTGAGTGCTGCTTGAAGCTGCTCCTGAGTGAGCAGTGATACACGTCCATCTGGTAATTGTAACCCCATCTGTTCTCCCTGAGTTGTTCTCACCAGTACCAATCGACCCTGCTGTTGAACAACTGTTTGTTGCTGTTGAACCACTGGTTGTTGCTGTTGAACCACTGGTTGTTGCTGTTGAACAACTGTTTGTTGCTGTTGAACCACTGGTTGTTGCTGTTGAACCACTGTCTGTTGCTGTTGAACCATTGGTTGTTGCTGTTGAACCACTGTTTGTTGCTGTTGAACCACTGGTTGTTGCTGTTGAACCACTGGTTGTTGCTGTTGAACCACTGTCTGTTGCTGTTGAACTACTGTCTGTTGTTGCTGAGTAACAATTTGTTGTTGTTGTTGCTGTTGCACTTGTTGCTGTTGATGTTGCACTTGATGTTGCTGTTGCACTTGCTGCTGTTGTACTATCTGTTGTTGAACTACTTGTTGCTGCTGAACAATTTGTTGCTGCTGATGCTGCACAATTTGTTGTGGTTGTGCTATCTGTTGTTGTGCTACTTGCTGTTGTTTCTGTTGCACCAACTGCTGTTGTACAAGCTGTTGAGTCAGTTGTTGATGTGGTTGTCCAGTTATTTGTTGCTGCACTGCTGGTTGCTGTTGACTTACTATTTGTTGTTGTCCGATTGGCTTTTGTTGTCCACTTAAATGTTGTGGTTGACTATGTTGTATAGCTGTAGCTCCTTGCAGTGTGTGGTGAACTGTTCCCAAATTAGTTTTTTGGTGCTGATGTAACACTTGGCCACCTCCTTGTACATAAATCAATCCTTGATGTCCTGTTGTTGGTTGTCCTTGACTTGCAACCACCTGCTGCACCATTTGTACCACCTGACGTCCTGCACCAGACTGCACAATTTGGACAAGCTTCTGGGAGGTGCCAGTTGGATGATTTCCACTTACAGGCTGTAATCTCACAATTTGCTGCTGCTGCTGCTGTTGTTGTTGTTGAATTACAGGTGCCTGAGCCACTCGAACTACTTGTGAAGTGCCTTGTTGGACTGACTGATTCAAAACCACGGGTTTATATGCTGTAGTACCTTGCTGCACCACTGTCTGGGTAGAATGGGGAGGTATGGTTGCCTGGTTACCTGCTGCCACTACACGTTGCTGTACAACATATTGCTGCTGACCTTGGGTAGTTTGATAGCTTGGAGACTGAGATGCTACAGTGTTAACTTTTTGTACAACACCAGTTGACTGACTTGTGTTTACACTGTTATTTATAGACTGTTGGGATGCAATTGTATTTGTTGTAGAAATTGGGACACATCTAGTTCCTTGAGGAGATGTTACTAATTGATTGTATACTCGCTGTTGAGTACCCACCCTTGAATAAATGGCTTGCTGTCCACTGACCACAACTTGTGTACCTACATTTGCATCCTTGATAATCGTACCAGGAGGATGAGCCTGGGTAACTGGAATCACTTGCCTTACTCCGATCTGCTGAGCAGATGATTGCTGTTGACCTACAGCTGCTACACCAGCCACCCCTTGTGAGATGACTTGACTTTGCTGCTGAATGACTTGGGGTTGTTGCACAGCTTGAGGCTGAACATTTTCTTGAAGCAAGGGAGTAGTACTGCATGATACAACCTGAACTTTAGCTGCTGCATTGGCTGTTATATGGGTTTGATTTTTTTGTCCTACTTGGCCAGGCTGTACTACTCCTGGTGTGAGAGACAAGGTATATCCACCTCTGCCATTGGGCAAGGCCACTATTTTGCTTCCAGTTCGCTGCATCAATTGAGCTAAAGATTCAGACTCCAGCTTTAATTGTACCTGTGGCTGTCCCCCAGGACCTGGAACTGCTATAGTTGTGGCTGTTACAGTTTGACCCAAAGGTTGACTGGGAGCTGCTGCTACAGCTGTTGGAGCTTGGGCTGTTATTACCTGTTGCTGTGAGCTAACATGATGTTGCATCACTGGAGTACCAGACTGCTGTGGCATGGCACCAATATTTGTCGAGGTGCCACTTGAGGACACAGAAATCCTGTTCACTACAGGTGTAACCTGTGGTCTAGGTGAAGCTATGATACTGGCAGATGGTTGTCTATTTACTGGTTGGTTTACATTTATTAAATTATGAGTTGATGATGAAGATGCATTTACTGATGGGGGCATTACTGATGATACTACTGATGGAGAGGCTGTAACTAGTCTAGTGGGAGCCACTGATGAATGACGATTAGCATCTTGATGAATCACAGCACCGGGAACTATGGAACTTCGTGGTCGAACTGGTGCATTAACAGTCATTGGCCTAGTAGGCTTTGTCATTCCTCTGTATGCCAAAGCCAAAGTATTTGGCTGGGATGAAACACTGTTCACCACTGAAGTTATTGGGGCAACCCGAGGCACACTGGGAGAGTTACTGGTGGCTAGGCCCTCAAGTCCTGTTGAAGGCTTAGTGGAAACCAGTGATGAGGTAGGTGTGGCTACAGTTGTGGGTGACTGACTAACACTGGAAGTAGGTTTTTCTGTGGCTTCACCATCAGGCAGACCAGGAATGTTGTGAGTTATCATATGAGCATTAGAATTAACAGTGTAAGTTTGTCCATGATGTTGAAGTTTAATCTGAGATACAGGCCCCTTCACACTGGGTCTCATATATTTCACTAATTGTAAGGCCTGTTCCCCAACAACTTTGAAATACACAGGAGATCCTTGGCTGTTGATAGCAGCCACAACAACAGTGGGCACACCAGGTTTCATATTAGAATTTTGGACGGTCTTCTTTGGGATCATTACACCAGTCCTTAGTGGTGTCTGAGGACCTTCCTTTTTGGCATTAGTTACCAGCTGACTAGCAAGATTTCTAACAGAGGATATGTCAACCTTACCTTTCTCAGTTCGAGGGTCTTTAACAACACTTCCTGAATGAACTTGACCATCATTATCAATATAACCCATGACATGTCCAGTGTGAGATAAAAGATAACGCCTCACACCAGAGGGCTGCGAGCTCAAACTTTCCTCTTCAGCTTCCTGTTCTTCTCTTTTCTTTTCTTCTTCCTCTCTTTTCCTCCTTTTCCTTACCCTTTCCTGCTCAGCTTCTTCAGATGCTTGGATTGCAAGCTTTTCAAAATCTAGGCCATCATAGTTTATCATCTTTTTAACTTTTCGTACACGTCCCCGAGAAGTGACCGTATAAGATTCAGAACTTTCCTCTGATGCCACTATGGTAGTTTCCACAGGGGGGGCAACAGATTCCATTAACTGAGATGCTGCGTGCCGCTTTACACGCCTCTTCCTCAGTTTGCGTTTTGTGTTTCCATCTTCTGTAAAGAGGAATGTAGAATCATTAGCATTATGACGAATTTGAACACAATAATTTATAAGATCATTATTGACCTATCCATAGCTCTCCTTCCCCCAACAATCAGAAGTATGCATAATTGCATATCTTGACTCATGTGCCCAAACCATTTCAGCCTACCATTACTGAAAACCTTGCCAATACTCTTAATACTTAGTTGCTCCCCCTAGCTCTAAACAAGATTTCTTATTTTTCAGTGTCACATATCATGTCCACCTTACCATATCCCTTTCAGCTCGCTCAAGTACTATGTCATCCTCTTTAACTACTTATGTTTCAAGGGCATACACCATCATACTTAACACCAGTTGCATACATCTTTCCTTTTACAGAAAAAGGTCTCCCTGCTGTCAATTGAGGCAACAGCTCCCTAAACTTCCTCCACTCACTTCAAAGTCTTGCAGCTGCGCTAGCTCCAGAACCACTTCCAGTACTGACCATGTCACCTAGGTAGCAGAACTCATCAACAGTCCAAGGATAAATCACCAATGTTAAGTTCTTCTAGCCTTGTGTATACAGTGCACTTTCATCAACATCCTGCAGTCTGCCATTTACCTCACACAAAAAAATGTAAAACAACATAACTGTCTGTCTCACCTCAGAGATATCATCTCTAAAAACTATCTCTGAAATCTCACTATGGAGAAGATACTTTGTTATTGTCAGCGGTCATACAGGGCAAAGGGTGAGGAAAACAGGTATGGCCACCCCATGAGAACCAGTTGGAGATTGAAACAAGATGGTAGCCCATAAAAGTGGCATAATATACTAACCTCTTGCAGGAGGTAACCCTTGTTTCTAATTTCACTCTCTGAGAAGGATGGTTATGATGGAGGAATGGGGAATTCCAAAATAAGTTCCAGCTCCCAAACAGGATACTGCATGACAGCCACCTGGTAAAGGGCATCAAGCTACAAAAGACAGTGGTGTAGACACAAACTTACCATCAAGGGACTCTTCACTGGAAGATGATGATGATGATGACTCCTGGGCTGGTGGTGGGGGAGGCTCAGGCTCTGGCTCAGGATCACTCATCCATGCCTCTTCTGCTGGGTCAACATAGTCTGGATCTCTGTATAACACACATATCAATATTACTGACTAATGACATTATTAATCTGTTTGCAGTATGTTCCATAATCATCTATGGTTATCAATCAGCATATACATGGATCATGCGCACCTAGTGATTTATTTGCACGCAGGAACACATTTACTAACCTTTTCTCGTAATCATTCCATTCATGTCTTAGCTTTGTGCGTAACCTCTTGGTGGCAGACAGAAGTTTGGATTCCCATGGGCTTAATTCACTCAACAAATTACAAAGTGCATAATGCAGCTTTACTTCGCATGATGGACGTTTCTTTCCTTCCTCCTGTTTAAAAAGATTTCATGAGATTCACATAAGAAAAATATATTTATTTGTTTAATACAAAATCTTCATCTGCAATTAAAGCTTTGTAGTGTTAGCAGAAACTTCTCCATAGTTAATTTATAATGCATCATCACATAAAATATATTTATCCTAAAACTAACAAGGTCACAGAATATAGTACATACCTAGGTCAATTACTGTCATACAAATACAAATTAAAATTAACTGCTTATTATTCATATTTTTTTCTTCTTAATCTGTTTACTTGATCTTTTTAGTTTAAATGGTATAGATGTGGCATATTAAGGCACCCAACCCCTTCACTGTGGCTGGTACATATCTGGTCTCTCCACATCTTGAAGGTTCACTGTGGCTGGCATATACAGTACAATACAGTATAGGGTTTCTGCCTTCAACAATTTGTGAGGCAAATATTAGTTATGATAGGGTTATGCAGCAATCCTCAAGTTTTGCCATACAATATGGAATAATATTCCATGTAAATGAGTCAATGCGCTTCATCAAGTCAAAGGTTAGATTATCAGCGGTTGGGCAAGACAGTGCTAATTGCAAGATATTCTTGATGGATATAGAACAGATGATATGAGTAATTTAATGATGAAAATTGGCCACACTGTGAAGACGGGAAAATAAATGAAGGAAATAAGAAGAGTGATATGGAGGACACTAGTGAAAGTGACAATCTTCCATGTGTGTGGTGACCAAGGAAACGAATACGCATTAATGTGGGCAGGTGGGACTGGGTTTTTATATGGTTCATTTCAATCCAGTTTGCTCTTGATTCACCACAATCTGGTATAACTGATGCTTGCACTGTGACTAAGAATTCGAAAGAACTAGATTTCTTTTATAATTTATTAAGAGACTTAAAGGGTGATATAGAGCGATGGAGACTAATGGCTTCTATGAATATGCACATGGAACAATGCCTGCTATTCAACCTTTTAGCAGACTAGCCAGGGGGACTGAGACAACCAGGGATGAGGTGAACACACAATCAAAAAAATATCTTTATGGAGGGAACGAATGATTTTCAAATTGAACAATGTGACTCCAGTTTATGGTCACACGGATGAAAAAAGTAAAACTTGGTTAAATTGCTAACTTCTATGAAACCTTATTCAATTAATAATTATTTTAGAGCAACAAACACCTTGCATATTGTTCTAAAAATAAAACGACTTCTAAATGAGGAAATAAGCCACATGCAGAATATTCTACACCTAGAAATGTTATCGGATAATGTTACTCTATCATCTTGGGCTGGGTGTCTTTTTTTTCTGCATGCGTCTTCTTTGTCGTTCAAGCATGAGACTGGGATATGGCTCCTTTACTTTTGCTACCATCTTGAAGCCTTTTATCTACAAAAATATGAGTGAATGCCAGTAAAACGCTATCAGCGAGAAATTTGGCTCGGATGTTTGTCAATATACCATCTTACTATACAGTGACCCCTCGTTTAACGAACACCTCGGTTAACGTAATTCCGATTAACGAACTGCCTTCCACAAGGATCTTCAATTCGGTTAACGAAAAAAATTTCGTTTAACGAAGTTCTTACGAACCGACCTCAACATGTTTTCGCTTGCACTGACCGGGCAACCAGCTTTAGTATCAGTCCGCCAATACATTAATCGGTTCTAGGGCTTAAATTCCTTACTATTTTAGTAAATATCAAGAAGTTTATACTATTCAATAATTTTAAAAGATTAATATTCAATTTTTTAGTCATTTTAACAATAATTGAACAAAATTGAAGGTAAAGTGACTAGTTTAATGCGCGGCACCCAGCCTCTTAACACAGCAAACAGGCGTCAGTCTCTCTCTGTTTTCACTGGAGGTAACATCTTGCTTGAGACTCTCTTCAACTAAACGCTTTTTTTCTGTGTTTCCAAGCAAATTATTGGTCATTTTGAAAATTATTTTACATATTGACAATATATAGTGCAGTGCAGTGTTATTTTAAAGAAAATATTCTTTATTTACAGCTAGTTTAACTTTGAAAAATACGTGTTGCCATTGTTTGAATCCAGCATGGGGCCTAAGAGATCAAGAAAAGCAATTTCAATCCAAATAAAGCAGGAAATAATAAAAAAACACGAACAAGGCATTAAATCAAATGCGCTATGCAAAGAATATGGCATGTCGGCATCAACTGTGTCGACAATTCTTGCACAAAAAGACAAATTTAAGGAAGTGAACGTGAGAGACAAATCTACAAGAGTGTTTAAAAGTAGATCCCTAATCGTAGAAACTGAGAGGTTACTTATCATCTGGATTAGGGAAAAACAGATGAAAGGTGATTCAGTTTCTGGTGATTTCATTTGTGAAAGAGCCAGGGAGATTTATGAACATTTAAAGGCAGATCAACCTGGTTCTTCAGGAACAGAATTTGAAGATTTTCGGGCTAGCAAAGGCTGGTTCGAAAAATTTAAGAAAAGAAGTGACATTTTAAGTGTTGTTAGGCATGGTGAAGCTGCTAGTGCTGATAAAGAAGGGGCAGCAAAGTTTTCAGTTGAATTTAAAAAACTGATGGAAGAAGAAAATTATCTTCCACAGCAAGTGTTCAATGTGGACGAAACTGGGCTGTTCTGGAAAAAGATGCCCAAAAGAACATTCATCACCAAAGATGAAGCCTCTTTACCTGGGCATAAACCCATGAAAGACCGTCTCGCTCTATTGCTTGATGCCAATGCTTCAGGGGATTTCCGACTGAAGCCTATGCTTGTCTACCACTCTGAAAACCCCAGGGTGTTCAAGCAACAGAAAGTGGTAAGAACAAAGCTTGGAGTTTATTGGAAGTCCAACCGTAAGGCATGGGTGACAAGACAGTTCTTTAATGAATGGGCTGTTGATGTGTTTTGCCCCTCTGTCAAGAGCTAGCTAACCACCAATAAACTTCCTTTAAAGGCTCTTCTCCTCATGGATAATGCTCCTGGTCATGACCCTGATCTTGCCAGCAATTTGGAGTATCAATTTGACTTTGTGAAAGTGTTGTTTTTGCCTCCAAACACTACATCATTCATACAGCCAATGGACCAGAATGTAATCAGCAACTTCAAGAAGTTGTACATGAAGAAAATGTTTAGGTGTCATCAGGCAACTTCCACTGATCCTGAACTAACACTGAAACAGTTCTGGAAGACACAATTCAACGTCCTGGAGGCTGTAAAATTGATTGTGTCATCATGGCAAGAAGTCTCCAATAGAACCCTCAATTCTTCATGGAAAGCACTGTGGCCATCAGTAGTCCATGATTTTGAGGGATTTGAGGAAGAAACAGAGTTGGACCAGGAGATTGTGTCCATTGGTCAGTCATTGGGCCTTGAGGTGGAGGAGAAGGATGTGGAAGAGCTTGTGATGTCTCATGAGGAGGAACTTACTCCTGATGACTTGAAGCAACTGGATGAGATGTTACGGGTAGAGGCTGACAGTGGTGAGGAGGAAATTGAAAGTGATGACCATATGTCAGCTAAACAGTTGAAAGATGTGATTTACTACTGGGAGAAGTTCAGGAAACTGGCTTCAAAGCACCCAGAAGTGGAAAAAACTGAACTAACTTTGTGTCATGTTGAGGACTCAGTGGTCTCCTTCTTTAAACATAAGTTAATGGTGAGGAGGACAGGTGCCCCACAGACCACAATTGACACTTTCTTCAGTAAAAGGCAGAGGGAACAAGATGCTAGCCCTCAGCCTTCCACTTCAAGAAGGATGTTCATGGTGGAGAATCTGTCAGTCCAGAGGTTCCTGACATTTTCATGGAAGGTGACTCACCTTCCAAGAAGCAGTAAAATGCTTCTCCTCCACCTCCACTTCCTTCTCTTCTCCCTTCTCCTCCTCCACCTCCCACTTCAAATGCACATCATCATCATCATCATCCAGGAGCCTTCTACATACACACCTCAAATAAGTAAATTTTTCTGCCATTTTTGTTGAAGTTAGGAAATTTTCGGTGAGCTGGAACCAATTACCCAAAAACCCATTGAAACAATGGTTTCGGTTAAGGAACTTTTCGGTTAACTAACGACCTTCTGGAACAGATTGAGTTCGTTAATGGAGGGGTCACTGTAATAGTGTAATAGTGTCCAGCCCACTGGTGAAGAATGGTCAGTCACTGGCTCGGTTCCCGCCAAGTTGCCAGATACTGCTGTTTCAACGAATTATACTGAAAACAGTAACTTCACTTTTTGGGCCGATTATATTTCAATAGAAAATGTTGGCTATCTGGTAAAGAACTGCAGCCCCCCCACCCCTCCTCAAAAAAAAATTTAAATAAAAATTCCCATACATTCCCTTTCAAACATTTGTTTTACCAAACTGGACCTCATGCCAGGCCAACTCCACACCATGCCACGCATCTACGCAGCTTATTCACACACCTTAAACAATGACAATAAGAAATATGAGCCAAGAATGTTGTCATGTACAGAAGAGGTAAAAGAAGTGTTAACTTGGATGTGTTAAGGTATTTTGAAAAGGAGAAACATACCTTTGACTTCTTAGGACTTCCATTTTCCTCATCTCCACCAGATCCCTCAGGTAGATCTCCAAATTTTTGTATTAATGCCCGCAACTGTTCAACAGACGTTACCACCAGTTCAAAATTTTCTACTCGAGGTAGATAAGGAGAGGAATCATGTATGGGTGGAAGTTCCTTAGGAGGTGAAGGGGACTTGTGATTGGACTCATCCTCACTGTGCTCTGATTCTTCCTCTTTTATTTCCAATTCCTCCTTTTTCACTCCCGAGCCATTGCATGATAAAGATTCTTGATTTTCACTTGTCTTAACACTATCATCTTCACTGTTATCAAGTTTTTCTGTCTTGACATTTTCTTCACCAGCTTCTAGTGCCTCTTTAACAGTTTTTTCTTCTGTTTCATTTTTAATATTACTAACAATTGGAACACCACAAACTTTAACACCATCTTTATCATCACTGTTTCCTAAAGTTTCATCTTTGAGTCTCCCATTCATTAGAGATTCACTAATCAGATCACTCACCTTCCTATCACTATCTGCTTTTAGTTCCTTCTTTTCTTCAGGTTCACACTCTCCATTCTCTACTATACAGGTGTCTCTCTCACTACTAAGTCTATCAGCACCATTATCTGTTTGTTCTTCTAAATTTTCTCTACCAATTTCATCTAATTTTGATCTTTTGTTTGACACTGGAATGTCATCTGCACTGAGTGCCAACCTTTGCTGAAAAAGGAAAGAAAATTATTCTAAATAAGTAAAAATATATAGTATGAGTATTTTACATGAACTGGAAAATATATGGAGAGAGGAACCTGTCTAGGGAGGATAGATGGTAGTTTACAGGGGAATTTTTCGGCTGATACATATTATCAGACATCAATAACATGCTTGAGAGCATTATGTTGGGTAAAAATAATGCAAAGGATAATAAGGAGAAATGAGGAGGATGAGGAGGAAAAAGAATTGTTTGGCAGAGAGTGAATCTGGGCTTGCTTGGGTGATATGAACATGTTCAGTGACTGCAGTGAAAGAATGGTGGAATGTATAATTCAGAAGCAGATGATAGGAGGGAGAGGGGAAGACCAAGAAAATGTAAGGGTAGGGTGCAGGATGCCCTAAAAGTGAGGGTGATGGACAACCAGGTAGCAGTAGTGTGTGCAGGGACATAGCTATGGGGGGGTGTCACACCCTCCAACAACAAAAAATTTAAAGTGCAGTTCAAATTCTGGAAAAACTGCCAACCAGTTGGAGATCCTGTATTTAATTAATGCTAGACAATGAAAAACAATATGATAATGCCATGATACGGCAAGAGACCGAGTAGGAATAGCTATTGTTAGATATCACAAGAATCCTCTGCCACCTTGGTCTTGCATTTCGTGGTGATAATTAGAAAGATTGCAATTTATATCAAAATGCTAAGTTGGTATCATGACATTCACCAATTCTAAAAAGTTGGTTTGATGACAGACAGATACAATCATACTTTAATACACATTGTAGTCCTCTTGAACAAAATAAGTTTATTGAATTGCCTAGAAAATCAGTAAGAAAGGAGATTATATCACAAGTAAATAAAGCACCTATTTGTTCTGTCATGGCTGACACTACTCATCAAGACAGATTAACCTGCACAGTTTGTTTTGTTTCTGAAAGTGGTGGCCCATGTGAACGTTTGCTAGAAACAAAATAACTTTTGGATAAGACAGGTGACAGTCATGCAGTCTCAGTATTATCTTCTGTTGAAAAAAGAAAATGGTTTGGATAGCGATCTGATTGCATTTCAGTTGTATGATTTTGCAAACACAAAGCGTGGTAAAAATAAAGGAGCATGCACAAAACTGTCAGAAAGGCTAGGTAGAGATGTATCATATATCCCTTTCCATGGGCATCTTGCAAATACTGTTGTCAAACACAGTAGTAAGGCATTATCTGCAGTCACTTTTATGTTCAAAATTGTTCAGTCATTGTATGTCTTTTTTTTCTGGAAGCATGAAGAGGTATAATATACTTTCAAATCAATGGCAAATGTTGGAAATGCAAACCAGTTGCAAAGTTTATTAAGAACTTGATGGATGGCAAGGGTAGATTCAATTAATGCTGTATGGATAGTTTATGATTTTATCACAGAAGCACTTCACAAGATTAATACATCTGGAGTAGATAAGAAAACAAAAGCAGAAGTAGATGGTCTCTTAAAAAATTATTTACGTTTAATTTTCTTTGGACATTAATTTTCAAGACAAATGCCATGTTTAAGACAAAACTGTAAGTTAAAAAGATGAAAGAAGACAAATTTAACACATTGGATGCATTAACAGTTGTGAGGGGAACAATTATCACCATAGATAAGTCCTCTCAGAATGATGAAGAGCTAAATACGTAGTATGATTGAAGCGGCAGTACATGTGGCTGATAAATACAAAATTGATGACAAAGCAGAGAAAGCAAAGGTTTACAGGGTTCGATATGCTAGCAGGTATAAAGATAATCAGTCATATACAGCAGCCATCATTGACTGTGAACAATTTTACAGGAAAGAAATGAAAGTAGTATTAAATATATTGGCTACTGAATATGCTGACAACTACAAATCTTGCATGAAGAACATAAAACCACCGATGACTTTGTTTCCTCTACTGAAAGTGCCCTACATTGAAGAGGTTCATCTATTTTGTGAACTGTACCAAGAATGTCGTCGACCCCATAAAAATGCTCTACTGGCAGAATTAGAAGCACAGTATTCATTAACTGTTTGTTGCCGAAAGAAGCAGACAAATAAGATCACTTAAAAGATGTGGCTGATTTAGCTCATCAACAGCGACATGTATTTCTACTGACAAAAACTGCCTTTGGCACTTACAGCACCAATATCTGTAGCCAAAAATGAGATGAACGCTTGGATTCACCCATGCTACTATTTTGTGAGACTGACATAAGTGATCAGCTTAATTTAGATAAAAAAATTTCACAAATGTGCTAAGAATTGAATTCATTTACATTAAATCAATGCTAGAAGTAAATACAGTATAATGAAGAAAACCAGAGCAAAATACCTGTTACAGTGTTAAAATTATACTTCTGGACAGCTAATGTTTGATCATTTCATGTCATAATCGCTTTATATAAAGTACCGGTATGTTCATTTCCCAATACATTTTTTTCACTTCAGTTGAGTAATTTATCAAACATTCGTGGTAAAAAGCGAACAAGTACGTTGTTAGAACTGTATAAACTTTCTTATTTTACACATCAGTCAATTATGTGTGAAATCATATTTTATGTTTTATTATGCAATTATATATAGTACCTGTCACAAGTTGTGTTTCCTTTGGTATGCTTCTAAATGTGAACACTGTGAGTGCAAACATTAGTAAAGGCTTACCACTGAAATGACAAAATAACTGGGAAAGTTTTTCTAGATATCTTCTGTTAGGAATTTTGATCACACATGCATATTATAGTCAAAGCTGGATAAAGAATCAGCACATAATTTTGCACTGCTTTATTATGGCATAGTTTAAAATTTTCTCACCGGTCAGAATATTTGTGATCATAGTTGGAAGTTAAGGAAGAACCCCCCCCCCACCCCCATTCAATTTTTCTAGCTACGTCCCTGACTGAACAGTATGCAACTAAAGTGATCTTGGGGGAAAGACCTGTGCAAAAGTAGGAGTGAGTGACAATGATAAAAATTGACATGGAGGAAGGAGAAAACTAATATTACGTATAAAAATCTAACCTTTTCCTTAGTGTGAACTGCTCGATGTCCCTTCAGAGCTGCAATATTCTGGAATGTTTTGCCACAAAGCTCACAGGTTGGTTTCTGAAATGGCCGTCAAATTAAAATCATAGAAAGCAAATACCATAAAAACATACAATAAAATCATAATAAGCACAATAACAGTACAGTAGAGCAGAAGACAATACTGAAAAATAGTAGATTAGCTGAACAAAATACCATACAAATTATATCATTCTTTTCACACAGGCATATATCTATGTATGCAGTTTACTCATGCACTATACTGGAACAGGAATGGATTACAGACCCATAGCACAGCTATATCATTACAGGAATAACCCACTATTCGCAACCTCGCTTATCTGCAAAGCATACCTCGCATATTTACACAGAAAAATTAAGGTGCCCTACAGTAATATTTCAAACTGTGAGGGCTAGCCGCAGGTCTCGTATTTCGCTGTAAGGCCAGCTTCACGAGTGTTTTTTTCCACGTGTGAGTACCACCGTGGTTTAAAAATTAATGAAGTTCAACAGGACCGTCCACACAGAGGAAGACCAAGCAGGGGAGGTATAGGTGAGCTTGGGAAGTATGAATGTTGAGTAAACACACTGGAGCTCGGGCGCAGGAACTCCGAAGGAATTGAGTCGGCGGAGGAGGTGGAGACAGAAACTGGAGGATTTGACAACTTAACTGATGTATATTTTCCAATTTAGTTTGTTGTCTATAGTGACACTGAGGAGCTTAGAGGAATCTACAACCTGGAGTGTGTTGGGGCATAAAGTAATAGAAAGGGGTGGGACAACATCGGAGGAGAGGTTGATGTGCATAACCAAGGTCTTGGTATAGTTGATGGTGTCGTGGTTGTTGGTGGCCCAGTTTTGGAGACTGTTCAATAAATCCTGGAGGGCGGTGTAGTCGGGAGCCAAGTTGTTGACACTGATCCCAATGGAGTCGCTGACATATTTCCAGCGAGCAGGGGGTTTCTCTTAGGGCATCATTGATAAGCATAAGGAACAGAGTGGTCCCATCTTGGTGCCTTGGGGGACGCCATAAGTGATTGAGTGAAAAGTGGAGATAGCTCCTCGGAAACGTACGGCTTGGCGTCGGTCACTAAGGAAGTCCGTAAGCCATGGTTTAAGACTTCTTCGAAACCCGAGGTCAATAGCTTTGTTGATTAAATTGTGGTCGACTAGGTCAAATGCTTTGGTGAAGTCGATGAAGGCGACAGCCACAGACGTTTTTCGTTTTTCCAGATGGAGGTATATGTAGTCGAGAAAGCTGACAAGACAGTGAGTGGTGGAGGAAGTTTTCATATTGCCAAATTGCTGAGGATCTATGGTGCCTACAATATCAGCATAAGCCCAGTCAAACACAAAACTTTCACAGATTAAACTGGGTAGTATTGGGGTGATTGCTCATTTCAGGATTGTGGGCTGGTTGACTTGGGCACTGGTGACACTTATGAGGTCATCCAGTCAGCTGGGCATCTTGCTTGGCTGAGGGACCCATTTATGGTAGAGCAGAGGGGTTTAGCTAGTTCCGGGGAGAACTCCTTATACAGTTTCATTGGTAAGTCAATGGGGGTGGTGGACCGCTTTAACTTCAGTTTGTCCAGACGTTTTTCTACTTCAAATTCTTCCACTAAGTAGGTAAGCAGGGAGACTGGTGGTGTCAAGCCGGGGGAACATCTGACATTTACCTGTAGTTGTGAAATGGTTGTTTGAGTGCTCAGCTGCATCACCATTAGTGAGATGGCAAAGGAAGGGGAGGAAGTGTGTCTTATTGTTTAGTCCACAGAGTTTTTTAAGCTTACCATACCATTAACTGTTGTTGGTCTGCTTCAGGTGTTGCAACTTGGTTGGGTAGTGGAACTTCTTTGCAGTGCGTATTTTGCAGATGACATGGTTGTGAAGAGACCTGTAGCGGTTGTGGTCATTTAGGTAAAAGGCACTGTCTCTCTGCTGCATAAGTCTTTTGATCTTAGGTGTGATCCAGGGCAAGTCAGCTGGGTGTGACCTGACGGACTTCTCGGGGAAGAAGTGGTGGTGAACTTCCGTGGTGGTGTTGGTGTAATTTATCCATTTGGTGTTCACGTCATCCACACTAAGTACTTCAGTCCAGGGATGGTGAACTATCCACTGCTCAAAGAGACACACAGCAGAGTCAGTAATCGACCTGTAGGTCTTGATGTAGGGTCTCTGTTCTTGGCTGGTAGTGGCAGCTGGAGACCAGAGCACTGATAGGTGTGTGCTACACCCGATAGGAGGCATTGGTTGAGGTGGTTGGTACTGGTCCGCTAAGTCAGTTAAGATAAGATCAAGGGTATTTTGACCGTGTGTAGGAAAGTTCACAACTTGTGATAGTAGCAGCTGGTCCTGGAGATCAGTGGTGTCAATTTCGTTATAATTCCCGCATAATACTAGCTTGGCACATGGGTACCTAACTCTGAGGTGGTAATGAGGTAATTGATACGAATGTCTCTGGTGGGTGAGCAAGGTGCCACACACTATATGATAGAGGCAGTGTGGCGCAGGTGAGCCCATGGCACGACCCGTACCCATAATGTCTCCACATCAGCTGGGACTAAAACATCCAGGCGTGACGGGAGTAGGTCATCTTGACAGAAGAGTGCAACGCCCCCTCCGCATCCATGTGAACGAAGGTGATGAAAGAGTTGATGTCCCTCAATGTGGCACGTTTCAGGAACACTTTGCCAAGCTTCACATATGGCAACGACGTTGGCAGCGACTGGTAGGACTGTGGTTACCATTTCGTCAAATTTATTAACTAAGGAAGTCACGTTGGAGAGCAGTAAGGAGGGGAGATTGTACCATATTTGTGGAACTTCAGTGTATTGGTACTGTCTGTCAGGTGTAGGTTTCTTTGGTTTTCTAGTGGAGGTGATGGTCCTGATGGGCTTTTGTTTATGACGTCCTTGTCTACGGCTGCAAGCATGGAATATGATTAGTGACTTAAGTCGTGCGATAACACTCATTAGGATAACCGTTCCCATGCTTTAGAAGGTAGAGGGAGCGTCTGGAGTAAGTAATTGGTGGACATCTGTTGATATCTGTTGTTGTGGACAGATGGTAGTGTTTGTCAGTGTTTGTCCGCGGTGGCCATAAACTCAATGGCGGCACTTTGAGGGCCACTGACATTGGTAGACATGTTTATATTTGCCTAGTCACATACACCGCGAGTCCATGACTCCGGCACTTAAGGGGTCGCTGACACAGTACCCACGATAAATGTAAACACCTCAGTGGTCCTTGTCACAGGCACTTTGAAGGTGTCTTACCGCGAAATAAAAATCCGCGAATTTGGGGGCTCCCTTACTACATTATACATGTTATCCTGGTCCCTAATAGCCTCTGATAATGAGGAGTGTACAGTATATTGAAAAATATATGGTGAAATTTGCCTGCTGGGAATGCATCCACCCTCTTTACATTAATTCTTAAGGGGAAAATTGCCTCGATATTCATAATGATTTTCAAGAATGTAAACTTTGCGATAACCTGGGTATTCCTGTCCATGTTTATAATGTGCAAATTTTTAATCTAATAAATCATCACATATCACATACAGTACTTGATAATGAAGATCTCATATTGGTCATGGCAATTCATTGGTTAAGTTAACCATTTCCAACAAGAGTTTATTCAGGCACAGGAGGTATCACAACTCGCATATGGCAACAGGTTTAACCACTACTATAGGTTCAGAGTTCTGTATACTTAATCAGAGTTTGTATCACTTAAAGCAATTCATTAGTGAGATGAGTATATTTACAAATAGATGAACAGTATGTGTAGGGTTAAGAATAAAGGTTAGTCATAAACTACAGTGCATTATTATGTTCATAATAATTAGTGTACTGTACAAAGATTTGAATATAATATATTGCATATAAAATGGTTCACATTGATAATACAGTCATAGTAGTACAGCTGTATCACTACAAAATGTTCAAAGTTCTATAAAGTAAATCATAAATCAAAGATTCATATTGAAAACACATGCTAAAAGGACACAAAGTGAACAATTGATGACAGCAGCCGAAATGTTAAGACTGCACGCTGACTTGTACATACTTTCTATTACAGTTAACATTAATAATTCTAGTGCCATCTACAGGTGTCAGTTCTCTACCTCTCTTGTGGTCATAATCTATGTGTGGGCTAGCATTAGTCAGGTTTGGGCCTTACTGTACTGGCTGCCCAGCTGGAGGTAATCATGTGGTACTTATGCAGTACACCTCACATGTGTCCAATGGACTCATTACTAACACATGTGTGGTGTTTGAGAATAAATAAAGTGTTACATTCTTGATTAGCGAGGTGTCTGCACTATCAAGTCTATCTAATGGAACGATGTACAGTAGAACGTCGATTTAACCTGAATCAATTTAAGATTATTGATTTAAAGCGACACCCACAATTAAGGACAATGTTTCAATTTAAAGCGAATCTTTCCTATTTTGCGCGAGTCAATCTGGCGCATCATATTTAAAATTTCGCGCCTAATGTTTCTCTGGGCACACTACACTGTCCTAAGGGCAAAGCTGTACTGTACATGTTCTCAAAATCATGTACTAAATGATTACTAAAATTTTTGTCTAGTGCAAACTATAGCACGATTATATTCAAATTAATCACTATCTTATAAGAATTCCAGCAATGTAAATTATATTCTCCCTGGTCACTTCTGTGACATATTATAAGCAAAATACATAAACTCAAGCTAAAGGACATAAATAAACAAATAAATACTTCACTGGACTTTCGGCACAACTGTCAAACAGGTCACTGTCACTTCCCTCCCCTCCATCTTCCCAGTCAGGGTTTGGTGTTTTAGGCTTAAAGTTTTTATCATATATAATGTCACAGACTAGAGTTAGGTGAATATAATTTGTATTGCCGGAGTCCTTGCAAGACAGTGAATAATTTGAATATAAACGTCATATATTTTGCACAAGAGATAAAAAAATTTGCTCTTTGTATGTCTAATGCAAGCTATATCATGTTTATATTCAAATTAATCACTATCTTATAAGAATTCCAGCAATGTTAATTATATTCCCCCATGTCAGTTCAGTGACATTTTATAAGAGAAAACTTAAAGTCACTCTTAAGGACATAAATAAATAAGCACTAGACCTTGGCATCAACTGTCAAACATATCACCTCACCTTCCTCCCTCTCCCCCATCTTCCCAGCCAGTAAACAGACTATTTCGCATCCTTAATTTTAGCTGTGTTGATATATGAGTGTTTGTTTTAACACAATACTACAAAAAACAATGTTTTGTTTATTCTAGGAGATGAGCTGAGGTGCATCTGGGTAGACTTTCAGTCTTTTTAGTATTTTGTGTTTCTCTCAAGTACCAAATTAAATTATTCCATTGAATCAACACTTCGATTTAGCGTGAATTCGGTTTAAAGCGACCTCTCTTGGAACTATCTCGCGTTAAAACGACGTTCTACTGTAATGTAGTAAATTAACTCTGAATGAAAACCTCTCGCTTTTCATTCGTGCCTAATTTCATGATTCCTCTGTATATGGCTTTTAATAAATTAATTCATCATTTCACCAATTCTCAGCTGTTTGGACAGTTGGTCTTTTCTTTGTTACTTTGTTATGAACTTTATTTATTGTTCAGTGTTAACAAGGAGGAAACCAGAGCAACCAGAAGACACCAGCAATGTTTGGTGGGGTCCTTCTGGATAAAAGTTACCCCATGTCTATCTGATATGAGACTTGAACCCAGGATATGATACTACACATAAGTACAAAAATAACACAATCAAATTTAAAAAGTTATGTTAAATTTCCCCAATATCTTTGTGATAAACATTTATGTACAAGAGGAATGCATTGCTTACCTTTTTCCCTCCTCGTTTTGTTCTAGGATTCTTCTGTTGTGCTCTAGTGAGACCCTCTTGCTGTGACGGTGCAGGACTATTATCACCCATTCCCTCATCCTCCTCAGGATCACCTGCTGCTGCACTGGAAGGTCTTTCATTCGCTCTCTCTGATTCACATTCACTAGAAGAATCAATCACTGACACCCAGGATCTTTTCCCTTTTGATTTTATTTTAGGTTCCTCATCTGAGGACAAACCTAAGTCCTCAAACTGGTCGTTATATCTGGCTCTTGGACGCTGTCTTAAGTTTCCAGGTCTACTGCGGCTGTTCAGACCCACTTCTTCTTCAGGGTTTACTGCTCGACCTCGACCTCTGCCTCTTTTTCTTTTTCTTTTTTTCCCTCTCGAACCTTCCCATTCTGCTTCTTCTTCGTATTTCTGTTGGGCAAACATTGATAATTAAAAGATACCCTTAACTAATTCATCACACAATATCTGAATAAGAATTATTTTTTCTTTTACTAATTCACACTTACATTTCTGTTTACAGTACACATACAATATATCATTATAATAATCCTGCCTTCTCAGAAAATAACAGCATGGCAAATTATATACACAGTCACTTCTCCTATAACATGACGAATGTATTAAGGAACACATTTTTTACAACGTAGATGTGAATTGAGTATAACGTGATTGAGTAAACATAATTATGTCATGCAAGTAGGAATAAGCAAATGTGCAGCTGCCTCGGTGTAACAGCATACAAGGCGGGATGCCGGTGGATGCTTCTAGATGCTGCGTACAGCGTCAATTTGTTAATGAAAAATCCATTTGGTAACGAATGGAAATTATTTAGTATTAACCCTGAATAAATTCACAGTTAACATGTATGATCATGAGGAGCAAACATGGAGGAGGGCAGTGATGATTTCATTGCACCACATGACTGAATCATTACCGATTCAGTGTAAGCAACTTTATCTACAATTCAGTAATATAAGAGTAAGGTATTAGGCTAATTGCTGTTTTCCTCAATACAATTTTTTCTCTTTACCGTATTGTATGCTAAGAAAATTTTTATTGAATACTCAATATTGTAATGAATCTTGAGGGATCAACTAATGACAAGAAAATTAGACTTTGCAACTCCACACGCCTCAGTCTTTGTTCAGCCTGCATACGTATTACATGTGTTATTGCGGATTGTGCTTTACCCTATATTATTTATTTTCCAAACATTTTCATAACACACTGTCACAGGCATTTTCTCCAACTAAACCACAGTTATTATGCAAAAACACACAAAATCTAACAATAAAAAAAAAAACTAAATTTGTTAGTCATGTTGGTGTTGCAGAAACTAACCCCTTAATTCCCATTGAATTAATAGTTACTATAATGCGATGTTCTTTAGGAACACAACTAACATGTAATAGAAGAAGTGACTGTATACCAGGCATGGGGTCGAAGCCATGACCCCAGTCTCGAAGCTGAAGCAATTGGTAAAGGCAGACATTACAAAAAAGTCACGAAGTCAAAGCCAAGGCTTTCCAAGGCTTGATGAAACCTTGACACCAATATTTATATCATACAGAACGTACAGTACTGTACTGTACAGGCAATAAGTGTTATATGATGGATCTATATACGCTCGATCAGTTTTACATTAAGAAATAAAATCCATTTATCACTACGGAACGATTAAAGATCAGTTTTACGGTGGTTGTTACCCGAATGCTTTTCCTGCACTGTCACTGCTATGAAAAAGTGATGTGCAATAACTCACAATAATCCGAGATATGATGATACAATCTCGGAATGGTGTAACAAGTGGAGCCATGAGGGAACACCGCTCATTCCCTACTTCATCTGAGCTAACTCCCACACATGTAATAAATGTGTTTAATCCCTTTACGTTTTATATTTTTTATTTAATTTTTTTGCACATTCTGTATGAATGATTTTGTGAACACGTAACAGAATAAACAAAATTGAAGAAAATTACGTACAGTATATCTATCGGAAAATACAAATTGTAAAATACACCCTGTAACAATAATGCAGTTCACAGCTTGGCTGGAGGTTGAGATACTGACACTACACACCCCCCTTCCTGTTATTCCCGGGGAGGTAAGAAATTTGTATTCCCTTTATGATTTTGATCTTATGTATGATAATTATCTTTTATTTTTATTTTTTTGGGGGGCCACATTCTGTATGAATGATTATATGTCCATGTAAAGAAAAGAAGATATTTGCCCCAAATTTGCAAAATAAAAAATAACATTAACAGTTCACAGCTTGGCAGGTTGCCAAGATATATTCCCCTCTGGCTCCCACGATCCACATTAACTCACAGGGACCTAAAAAATTTTTATTCTCTTTATGTCTTTCACCTCACTATAATCTTTTCTTTTATTATTTCATTTTGGGGCACATTCTGTATGAAAAATTGTGTTTGCAACAAAATTTAAAAAAAAAAAAAAAAAAAAAAAAAAAAAAAAAAAAAAAAAAACTACCCGAAATTACTTGTACTGACAACTAGTGGATCGCAAATTATTAATGTACACATACATATCATGTAAGGTGAATGAGAATAAATCTTTATTTTGGATAAATTTACTGTTTTGTCTTGTGTATAAAACTTGTTTATCTGTTATTAATATTGATATACGATTGATCACTTATCGATGGCTTTTTAAGGTCCCAAACCACATCGTATAACCAACCTGTTTACTGCATTACCTTACATGTTGAGGGAATATGTACGGTATTATAAGTTGCAGCAAATCTTTGAGAAAAGCTGACTTTAAGTTCATTGTTCTTAGGGTGAGTATTGACTCTCCCTATAGCCTGAAAATGGTTACTTATAGTAACAATTTATCCTAGTAAACTTATTTTATCCATAATACGAGTACATAAACATAGTAATTTAGTCACAAATCACAGAAGCATTGGAAAGAATCATCATAAGATCTTCAAAGGTACAAAGTGAGCTATTGCCAGGTAACAACTGTTTGGTATCTTTTGATCTTTTCCAACATTCAAGTCAGGTCCTTGTGAGAATAGGGATAACCTGTGATGTCAGTGAGGATCTTAGTTCATGAAAGGTCAGATCAAGGTCTCTTGGTCAACCCACATTTGACCTGAACTCACCTAAAGCTTACCCTCCCCAGCACGACCTGGGGTGGAGATTCTGACCCGATTGTCTTGTGAATAATAATATGTTCTCGTGTTGGCACCAGTCACTGACACACTGGTCAGAAATTTTGGCACTGACACGACAACCCACATCACTTATCAAGTCAGGTTACAATTGATGAAGAACAAAAATTTAATTTAATGATTACTACACTGTAACTCCATGAAGATTTTTGACGACCACAAGCATAGATTAAAATTTTAATATTTAGTGTTTTTCCCTGATATTTTCTTTTTCTGGGCACTAACATAATAATGCTATGTTATTTTCAAATTTCTGTATCAAATTATATTTGCAACTACAAGGCAGTCTAGACCAAACAAGTAATCTGTATTTGTGAAAAAGAAACAAAAATCAACATGAAATTTAGGCCTATGTTAGGAATTAGTTCTTTCCCATTTTCTTTACACCTCAGTTCCCATTTAATTTTTCCCTTTCTGTCTACTCTGAAAATGTCACATGTTCCCAGAATGTATATTATTAGTTAATGGCCACTAAGTTATTAACGGAAGATTATCAATTGATCCCTTTACTTGAAGTGACTTGACTTGACCTGACCTGACCTAACCTAACCTAGCCTACCATAAACCTAACACCACACAGTATCTTTGGGATAGTATTTCACAATTTTTCATTTAAATTTTTTATTTTGTGGTTACCTAAATCATTATAATTTTTCTATACATACTGTATAATGCCAGTCACTGATGTTACATTTAGCATATCATAAATAATAAGACAAAAGATTAACCCTCTCACGCACCCAGTAAGTTTTTAAGTTTACGTGACCATGACAAAAGTCATATGGGACTAGCATCATATCTGAGATATTTTCTCACAAACCTATCAAGGTACAGTATTATAATTGTTATAATAGTGGAATTTTATGAACTTTCCAATGGTAGCTTTGGAGTTTTGATACAAATAATTGTGAGGAGGGTGGGAGAGGAAATAAAGAAACAAATGCAATCTACAGGAGGAACTGATGGACAGCTAAAGCCCAGCACACTTTGGTACTTTCTGGAAGCTTCCCTCATAAGATCATGCAGTCATTTATGACACACGAAAATTTAAAAAAAAATTTCAAGTTTAATAATGGAATTGAGGAGACTGGCAGCATTCTAAAACAGCATGATGGAGGAAGGCTCAGAACATCAGAGGAAGAAGTTGAACACACACATGCCGCCTTCCACAGAAGCCCAAAGAAGTCTACCATTGTGCCAGTACCGAACTACAAATTCCAGTTTCAACTGTGCACAAAGTCGTGTGTGCACGGCTACAGGTACAGAATATGCATATAAGCTTCAACTGGTTCAGCAGCTCCGAGTGGATGATCAATATCAAAAGGAGAAATTATGCTATGCATGTGCTCCACAGTCTGAACAACAACCCTGAGTACCTGGACTGGGTCATGTTCTCCGACATAGCAACATCTCACAGAGGTGGGCACATTAATAGACAATTGCTGCATCTGGGGAGTGGAGAATCTACATATCACCCAAAAGGTCAAAAGTGACGGTCCAAAAGTTAACATTTGATGCAGTCTTGTGTAACAGGATTGTCAGCCCATTTTTCTTTGCAGAAAAATCTTTGACAGGCCATGTGTACCGAGACATGCTTCAGCTGTTTGTGGCACTGCAGGTAGAGGACTGCCAACCAAACCTCATATTCCAGCAGGATAGAGCTCCCCCCCCCCACTGGTCCTGTAATGTCCGCTTCTTCCTTGATGCCTGGGAGCCAGAGCGGTAGCTGGGTAGACAGATCCGGTTACTGGCCACTGGGATCGCCTGACCTTACCCTGCTTGATTTTTTCTTTGGGGTAATGTGAAGTCCAAAGTGTACTCCACAAAGGTGCGGGACATCGTTCAGCTGAAAGAGCGCATCACAGCACGGTGGTCTCTGTAACCCCCAAGATGATAGACAATGTATGGAGGGAAATTGAGTACCGTTGTGACTTAGTCCATGCTACGAATGGCACACATTGAATGTCTACCCTAACGTACCCTAATGTACCCGAATGATATATACTCATACACCAAAGGAAACTCAAGCATACTGAATATGAACTGTGGATATTCCCCAGCTTGCATTATTAAAAAAAAAAAATATAAGACTTCAAAGTTGTTTCATTTCAAACTAGACATCCTTTATATAATTTAGCAAAATTGGAAACTTATATTAAAAAAGCATTCAATGCCAGAAATTATTTAATTGGGATTTTTTTTTAAGATACAGAAAAAGCCTATGACATGACTTGGTGAGCTAGGGGTGCTCATAAAGCCTTAAGTTTAAGAGAGCATTTACCGCACTTTGACAAAAAATTTCTCAAATGACTGAAAATTTGCTGCCAAGATGACAAAGGTATTGCAAGATTGGACACATTTGTCCCAGAAAATTTTTAGAAATGCCGGTTCCGCCATCTGTGTCAGAATTTTTTCTGGGAATGTTGATTCACTTCCCACGGTCCATTACAATTACTGTAGTTCAGTCCTGGTGCCATAATGCTGTCTCCTACCTCAATGTTGCCACCTTGTTTGGACATTTCTCACCTTTGTGTTCATTTCTTGACACACTGCCGCAAATTAACTCGTAATTATGGCTTCAAAGTATCGAGTAGGAGGCAGTGATGAGGCTGGATTAGCCAAACATAAGCATCACAGTCGTCTGTCTATTAAAGATAAGGTGGAAACCCAAAGCATATGAAAATGCAATCTACACTCATTGTTATCACATGACATTAAAACAATAAGCATGTAAGAATATATAAATTAGTTATCTAAGTTGTGGTAATGATTTATCGAGAGGTATGTGCATGTTCTCGTTCTCACTCTTGTTCCTTAACCATGCTCATGTTGTTAATAATATCTAATTTCATCTCCAAGATGAGATTCTTATGCCATTTATTAATACAGGGTGTGCTTGGTCTCATTATGCACCTTGAGGTAATTTCTTGAGATAAAATTACAGTACAAACACACATAAACAACTTTAGCTAGAACCACTTCTATGCATTTACATTATATAAGTTGAGCATGCACAAATAAATTTTTTCTTACGCATTTAAAAAAAATATATATATTAGGGGACCTTCAATATTTCACTGAAACCTACCATACTACAGTATATAAGATGGTTTCAGAGATTATTTCATTATTACTGCATCCTCCCCTTATCATCATCACCTTCATATTTTAAGGTAAATTCATCTACAGTACACAGTAAATTTGTCTTTATCACTGTATTTTTACAATTACAATTTCTATAGTCTTTTTATGACTATTATACTAATCAAGAATAATCACTTTGGATGCAGAAATATTGCTGCATTTAAGGTGAGTTAATAAAAAGACACTAACTATTTTCTCCTTTTATTTCATCCTTTCAAGTTATTTGTAAGTGACCAATGCTATCACCTGGCAACAGGTTAGGTCCCATGGTTACCCGATTAGAGGTTCAACTGTATAATTAAATCATTTCCTAATGTACCATCTAGCCACATAATCCCTAAAGATTTTTTTTTTGTTAAATCAGAAACAAGTCTCCATAGGGTGTCTCAACTACCAATGTTAGCTTTTCCACTGAGAAATTCTTGGTTACTAAGAAAAAGTTGTAATTTAAAGGTAGTTAAAGTGCCAATGCTTCACCTACTACCAAGAATAATAGCTAATGGGACACACATACCATGCAACCCTCATAAAATTCATTACTAAGTCCTCTTCAATATGGATGCTGGTTTGTGCAAAACTGTGCAAGTACAGGGTAGAGATGAGAGAAATATCTTCCCTACAAGAATTTATCTTATTCTTGCTGAATACTTATTTCTATTATCATTATCATAAATTTCTTTTATAAATTTCACCAACATCTTTTGAGCTATGAAGGTTTAAGTGGGTCTTATAGGCCTGATGGCTGGCAGTGTGGATACAGCAAACCTTATTTCAGTACAGTATTACCCTGTACTGTTCATGAGGAGGCAGCATGGTCAGCTATGAGCTTGACTACTCTCACTCCCCCAGCTGCAAAGCTTGGTACCCATTCACAGCTGGAAGGACTGGAGGTGCCCAGGTTATAAGAATCAGGGACCCTTAGGACAGGAAGCAAGTGCTGCATCCAATCATCTGCCACACCCCTTACTAAATATGACAGTACCAAAATTTTGATTGATATAAGAAAAGTCTGAAGTGTATTTGCATACTGTAATATATATATATATATATATAAATAAATATATATACGGTATATATATATATATATATATATATATATATATATATATATATATATATATATATATATATATATATATATATATATATATATATATATATATATATATATATATATATATATATATATATATATATATATATATATATATATATACAGGTAGTTCTGCTATAACGCGATAATTGTGTTCTTGTAAAATATTGTGTTATAGAAAATCGCGTAATAGAAATAACAGGGCTTATGGAGAAAATAGGGTTAGGTGCAGATTACTCGAAATCGAAAAAATTTAGTTATTTAGTGGGTCCCTTATTTTTTACCTGACCTGACTAGTCATGTCACCCCCTTTCTCTTAAGCTCCTCTACGTGTGTGTTGGTGTGGGGATTAGTGGATGACATCATTATGACCTAACCTCATGTTTTTAAGGTCACCCTGTATATTTAAGCCTCTCTCTGTCCATGTAATCCAGTTGCCTCTGAAGATGTCTTGAATAAAGACGAAAGCTAAGGTGCTCCGTTGTTTCCCTTTTCCCGTGTGATTTTATCAAGATTTATCTTATCCACATTTTCATTGTGGATCTACATGAAATAAATATATACAAGTATATATATATACATATATATATATATATATATATATATATATATATATATATATATATATATATATATATAAAATACATATATATATATCTATATATATATCTATATATATATATATATATATATATATATATATATATATATATATATATATATATATATATATATATATATATATATATAGAGAGAGAGGGGGGGGGGGTAAAAATAAAATGGAATTAAAATGGAAGGACACAATTGTATACTTACATGTCTGAATTTTCTCATCATTTTTCTATGTTCTTTGATTTTATCCAAAGGCAGAACACTTCCCTCAACAGTTTCTTCCACTTGAAGTGTAATTTCTGGAGATGGTACTCGTGCCCGTCTATAGATCCTAAGGTCCTGACCACAAAATTGTGGGAAATGAAGATAGTCATTACTGTCACGGTCATGGCCAAGGTGATATTCCCTTTGGTCTGCCTCTGTCTGCTCTGCGATGACTTCTTGCACAGTTTTGTGGTTGTGCTGGAGGAAAGAGATGGTATGCAATATCATGAACTATTTTCACCAAACAGACAAAAATTTTCTTAACATTACTGAGTCTAATATACCCCCAAAACTCTTCCTTCTACTTTATACTTCCTGAAAAAGACTGTCTAGAGAAAAAATGTGGACAAAAAAATATGGACAGCAGAACAAGAACTTACCAAGAGAAAGTCACAGAGAGACTTAAGTAGCCACACACGCTGATGATATGTCATTTCATGGAAAAGTTGGCGATCAAATGGATTTGTAGGCCCACACACCCGCCAAAATTCAGGTTCAATACCCATTTGGTCAAAAACCTGCAACAATTACAAGAAAGTCATTTGGAGTTAAACGAGTATAAATTTAGAAGCTGAAATTTGAAATACCTGCAGGTAATGAAAAAGAAAGAAATAAAGAATTACTTGTATAATACTGAACATAAATAATGAATTTGATGAAATATGTAACAGAGAAATCCAATTTTTTGTTCAAGTAAAACATTTCCCATTACGCTTGAGGGTGATTGAAACTAAGTGCAAACCCAACTCTCTCATTATTTATCAATACCCATTTCCTCTCCCTGTCTCCTGCAGCTTCTTTTATCAGGTTCTTACCTCCGAGTTCATTTCTCACAACCTCTTACAACTAACTCTCCTCCTTTCTTTCTCCTGTCACCTATCTCTGTATTGCATTCTTTTTACCAACTGCTCACTTCCAATTCTCTTTATATATCCCACCATCTTAGTCAACTCTAGTCACCTTTCTGTTCAACATTATCTTCATTTTAATTCACCATCTAATTTCTGTATTTCATATTCTCTGTAATGTTGAGTCATGATATTTCATGAAATTCAAATTTATGTTCTTAAATTCGCAGGTGCACTCGCTCCAAGTAGTATCTTTAAAGAGAGTCCGACGAATTTCAAAACGAACACCGAGACTTTTGTTGTCGTGGCTGGGTTGTCAAAATCATACCTCCGTTATGTCATAACATTGTCTTAAACAAAATCGTTTAAGATACTTTTTGGAGTGAGTGTATATGCATAGTATTCATAATTCGTGGCCAAGCTCATTAAAAAAAAATCAACCCCAGATGAGTTATTGAGTCATTAAATTCCTAGTGGTTTCTTTACATCATAGGTGAACAACTGACTAGCCAGCCAGCCTTGGTGCCACGTTGATGTATTGGTGTCACCCAGAGGATGATTATGAATGAAAAGGGAAGGAGCTGTTTATGGAATACAGAACTACTCTCCGTACAATATCTGTGAGTTACTGAATTTTCTTTGTATTATATACAATATTTAATGCTTATTAAAGCAGTTTTGCAACATTTTGTGTGTATTTTTTGGCCTCTGGAACCTCGCTTCATCCCCACAAAATAATGTTGACTAAACAATTTCTACATACCCCGGTACATCTCCCACAGTGCCTCCTCTAACACAGTTCTCCACCCATGCATTCCCAGGAAGCATTTACTTTCTTTCCCACTGTTACTGTGATTCAATTCATTACTCACTGTTCCTACTGCTGAAACATTCTACAATATCCCCAGTAACAACACCAATTTCTTTGTGTCCCTTCTATAGTTAATCTCATCATTTTACTTTAGGTCATATTGACTAAGAATAAAATTTTTCCTATGACACTTCTAAATTAATTACCAAACATTTATTACTTTCATTTGAAAGTGTCCACCAGGGAAGCATCATCTACAAACAGCAGCAGAATCCAATCCAAGACAGCAGGGTTTTGCTGTTCGTACATTTCTCATTTGCAAATCTGTTCTTTTGCAGTGGATTTATGGAACCCCAGTTTGTGTATTGTGGCCAAAGCACTCAACTATTCATGGGCTGGCATGGCAGAAGATAAAGGAAGTCAACACCAAAAGTTGTTCACAAACTTACTGGTATTAACAAGTCACTTACTCCATCCATCCCTTACTCTCTCTTTTACAAGGTACCGTATGTAGTACAGTATCACTCTTCCTTATTTTTTTTTGTGATAACATTCACTAGTAGCTTGTATGTAAATAGGATCAAAACAGGGCCTACTGTGCTCACATCTAGCTTGGTCACTTCCACTCATAGGGGCAAGTATGGGACCAAGTTTTGCCAGTATCTATCCCCGATTTTTTTTTTTTCGGTCTGCCATGATTAGTTTGTAAAAATTTTGGGATAATATACCTCTGTTTTTTTAAGAGTAAATTATATACTATATATGGCGTGGAAATTGGAATATTATTAAAGAGCACTTAAAATTATCACCAGGCTATTATCAGGGAACTGCAAGATTGACTGTGATAAAAACTGTTGGACCCTGATTTAATGTAAAGTACAGTACTTTAAAAGGAAATGCAGTAGCAGAAATCCCATTACATTATCATGAATTAAGTTTTTCTTTTGAATATTACCCACTGAGGTATCTGGTGGTCTTTATGACATGTTACAGTGGCAAACAATATGAATTCACAATGTGAATCACGATAAACACCAGAGTGTGGGTGTGAGTCCGTCGGGTCTCACCGTGTAGGCCTAATTTATGCAAATTTAGCTCCAGCTTGATCCACAACATAGCACAGCAGTGAAAATATACAGTTTTCTCACAACTAGATTTACACAATGATCTATAATATTCATTGTAGATTTACAACATTTCAGCTTAATTATGGGTTAAATATGTTTTGTGGACATCATAAAACTGTTTAAAAGATAGTTCTCATTTCCAAATAAAAACTTATGATTAAATTTTGGAATGCAATCTCTTTGTATTATTATATTTTTTTCTTCAGAAAAATAAACTTTACTTTAAGTTCTTAAAAAAATTTCTTAGGAAAATAAATAGCATATCGGCACTGTATACACATGTACAAACAAGTTAATTGATGGTACTGTACAGTTTGGCAAAATGTGGGTGACAAAATTTTTAGTTAAAGTCTCATCCCATTTTTTTATTACCCGTGAAGTTTGTGCTTTGCAGATTTGCTGTTCATTTTGATTTTCAAGAATGTAATCCCAGTAAACAACACAGCCCTCCTGTATTCCAATATTGTATACCAAACTTATGCCCCTTTCCACTACCCTTGCTTTCACCTCTATTAACACATCCCTGAAAACGTTTAACAACTGTAACAATATTAAACATCTTAAATATCTTACTTTCACTGGGAACCAGTTTCCCTTTTTTCAACACACTCTATCCATGCTTTACTCTCTATAAATGTTCTGAATGACATTCAGCAACTATTTGTTTATCTCATACAGATATTAATGATGTTGTGTAAGGCTTTATACATTTGACCAACTCAAAGGTATTGAAGGTAAAGATAACAAAATAAATGAAAAGGTACTAATTATTCATATCAATCTACTCACCTTCTGTGGATCACGATTTTCCCTGTAATAGCACCTATACCACAGAAGAGTCTTGTGAGCTAGTTTTCGAGCCCAGACCTTATAGGGCATATAAGGTTTTTCATTTAACTTCTGCCTCTGCTGAGGTGATGACAGAAGTGAAGTGAGGAGCATTGCCAGGGTGCGAGATGCTCGAGGCATTAACAACATGCGCTCTAATTCATACTGTGGTACTTCATAAATGTTGAGAGTCTTGAGTGTTAAGACGATGAAGTGACCTATCTGGGGAAGCTGAAAATCAAGAATAGATTAAAAAAGAGAAATTTAATATATTGTTTTTTCTATACTCTTTACAGACATGTAACGGCTGCAGTAACAATATATTATATAAACACCAGATAATACTAGATAATAATAAAGAGACTGTAAATTTGAATGGTCCACAGCAACTGTACAGCTGTATACAAGAATTAGGGGTTCTCTTCTGAATGTGAATTTCTGTGAATACATTAGATAACTGAGGTCTCTTGATATTAGATGTCTAGATGCCATGTTGATGATTATACCAACACAAAAGTACTTTAGAGATATGACAATGCTGCTATTGAGGAAATATTCTCAGTAACCCTTAAACTGCACAATACAAATCTGTGGCTCTCTCTGCTACTGTATGTGCCAAAAATTTTATCTCTTTAAATTTCAAAATCTGACTTGAGAGCCATATGGCTACTACTCCGTGATGTCACACTGGGACGAGAGTGATATTCACCTCCCATACAAAATACTGTTCAGACTTGTGCACATCATTCTTTTTTATATTTTTATATTAGAATTCCTTTATTTCTAAGTCACATTAGAAAACTGAAATGATTTTCCCACAACATTTACGGTTTCATTACATGAATCAGTGACAACTTGCGTAGCCTTCTCAAGGCCACAGCTACTGGCAACATGTGTTATGTAGTGAAAATTATGCGGCTATGTACGAGACTCACTTACGATACAAATTTCTGCATTATCTGCATTATCTAATGGGAACTACCCGTATCACGTAGGTGGTCAGAGTAACGTTCCACCAAATCCGGCTTCGAAACACGAGGATCCATATATATTTCATTAGCCCAATAGCACGCGGACTTCTACATACAATCAACACCTCAACCCGCCAGGATTCGAACCCACGGCCCACTAGCCCATGACTGTGACCGGGGAATGCTAGCCCCATTAGAGATTCACGGCGCCATAAGCTCGTTGAACAGTCTTTGTGTGAAATATAACAGAGTCGAGGACTGCTTTTAGTATCCTGGTGGTCCAGCGGTTAGCGTTCCCCGGTCACAGTCGTGGGCTAGTGGGCCGTGGGTTCGAATCCTGGCGGGTTGAAGTGTTGATTGTATGTAGAAGTCCGCATGCTATTGGGCTAATGAAATATATATATACGTATATATATATATATATATATATATATATATATATATATATATATATATATATATATATATATATATATATATATATATATATATATATATATATATATATATATATATATATATATATATATATATGTATATATATGTATATATATATATATATACTGTATATATATATACTGTATATATATATACTGTATATACATACATATATATTATGTTGTCAGAGTAAGAGAAACAATTGAGACCCTGCAATTGTGTGTAAATTAAGCAGAAAGTCAGATCAGCAGCCTGGGACTTGGTCACAATTTTTGTGATGCCATATGGCAGCAGGGTCTACCATTAGACAACACATTATAACCCTCTGCACTTACGTTTTGCAAGATTCTAGCACATTAATGATGAATGAGGTGCCTGACGTTAATGTCGGGAGTGATTCTGTGGTAATGACGGCTGTAGAGGGTGAAGATGATGGTCGCCATGGTCAACAAGGAATGCCCCATGCTAAGTGTGACTACTGTAAGGAGGTCAAGAAGAGGAAATAGACCCTTGAAATAAAACGAGAGATGCTCGAGATGATCAAGAGTGGTGCTCGTACCTGTGAACTCATGCGTAGGTTCAACTGCCCTGAATCTATCATATGTTCTGTTAAAAAGAACAATGAAGCCTTAACTGTTTCTGTGAACAGTCTTAAGATTTTCCAGTCAGAGGACATTCTCCAATACTTCTCACTGAAGCCTACTGCTTGTTATCCCATAACATTATATTCATGAGTGGATGGAATGAAGAAACAATAAGCAGGGTAACCTGTCTGGGCCACAGACAAGCACATGTTTACACTGCAGTTGCACAGAAGCACAGAAGAAATGCGCCAACCCTCCACTCCCACTTAATGCTTCTGGTAGTTGGTTGGCTGCTTTTAAGAAGCATTATGTAGTCAAGTTTGCCCACTACCATGAAGAGAGTACATCAGCTGATGTCATAGCAGCAGAAAAATACCTATCTTTCAAGTTCTTGTGAAAGAGGGTGGTTATTGCCGAGACCATATCTTCAATTGTGATGAAACTAGCATTTTCTGGAAGCGCTCACCCAAGACCACTTTCATTGCCAAGGATGAGAAACAGGCACGGGCTTCAAAGGACAGTACAAGTATTACAGTTTTATTCCCAGCTAATGAAAGTGAAGATTTCTTGACGAAATCCTTGGTTGTTCACCTCACTGTACGTCTTTATGCTCAGATTAGTTTGACAAGCACTTTGTTCCTGACGCCCAACAGTACTGCTGGAGGAAGAACACTGACTTCAAAGTGATCCTGGTGATGGATAATGCTCCTGGACACACTAAGTTTCTAAATGGTCACTACCCTAATGTACAAGTTATCTTCCTTCCTCCTAACACCACATCACTTCTGCAGCCACTTGACAACGAATTCATCAGTAACGTTAAACTGTTCTACTATCAGTCACTCTATAAAGACCTTGGTCAGCAGATACTCATTAGATGAGTTACAACAAATTGAGACAGAATTCTCTGACAGTGACTACGATCTACCAGCACTAGCTAACCAGGAGGAGGAGGGGAGGGGATGGTACACAACCCGACTCCTAGCACCTCACAAGCACCACCCCACTACAGTGAAGTTTTTTCAGTTTGTGAATTTTGGAAGAAATTTAATACAGTAAGATCTCATGTTTCATGCGATTTCATTTCGCGTTTTTTTTAATTTCGTGAACACTACCTAATGTAAACAAGTCTTATATTAGGTGTAAAATATCGTGAGTTTCGCGAGATCCAGCCAGCTGAATGCTGGCCACCGTCTTGAATGACGTCACAGCCATCATACCAATTACAGCCATTTCTGCTACAACACGTTTTGTCAATGCTTAGTGGTTGTAACGCGATTGATGAATAGGGGAACGCTGTTTGTAAAATGCAAACTTTTGCATACGAATGTTGGCTAAAGCGCGATTCCATCCTCAACGTTTTAAGCGTGGCGCGGGGTGATGCAAGATTTACAGTTCACGTTCGACATCACATGTTCAATTGATTCATGTCATTTTTTGGTGTAGTGTTTTTTGAGAGGTACTCCGTAAATTTCGTTCTTCTTTTGCAAATTTAGCTGTTACCCAAAAATGTTGTATGAAAAGAATAAGTAAAAAGAATGTTTTGCAGTGAGGAATAATAATGGATTACACCAGCACTCTCTGTTTACATCACGTGATCAGTTGAATCGCACGGTTTCTGTCGATTATCCGTGATTTTTGCTGTTTTCTCAAATTTTGTGTTAGCGATAAATATGGAAAGGCAAGGTGAGGAGAATGTTTCCAAGAAGCATTCTGGAGATCGAATTGCTGGTGATGAACGTAAAAGACATTTACAAGAACACAACTATCGCGTTGTAGCCTGCACCATCCTAGTGACCGCCCGGGCTGCTATTGTGTGCTTTTTTGGGTGGTGCTCCCACTTGTCGAGTCAAGATAATGGCCTCTACCTCTACTGGGGGTCCTACTGGTGCTGGTGGGGGTGGGACAGACCCACTTAAGCGACCAAATAAGGAAAAAGAGAAGCGAGACTATCATAAGGGAGTTAAGTTTGCCAAGTACTCGATGCAGGATAAGCAGCGTGTGATTAAGTTACTTGAGGAGGGCCTAAAAACTAGTTTCCGGAAAGCACAATCAGGTCACCAAATGCAAAATTTGTATCATTTGGAGGTTATAAATGGGAAAATCAGAGGTATATGTAGAGTGGCCAGTCTATATTGTTATTTTTCCCATTAGTTTATGTATTTGTATTTGGCGAATTTGAATTTGGCGCAATTTTTCCAGTCTATATTACTCGCAAAATACAAGATCTTACTGTATTAAAATTGCAGTGGACATTATTGTTGATGCATAGGGTAAGAGTAATGTTGCAACAGTGCTACACTCTTGGAAGCCTTTGTTTGCTAACCCCGAGGTAAATGGGGCAGAGCAGATTGAGGCAAGTAGGGGGGAAACAGTCCAAGGTGGTAACACTTATGGACACAGTGGAAGAAGTGTGGTCAGTCCCAGAACCAATATTTTTTTATGTTAAGTTGAAGATTTGCAAGAAATCATCGGTCAACATCAGCAGCAACCGACAAATGAAGAAATGTTGGAGGAGGAAGGAGACCAACAAGAAGAACAGCAAGCAACACAAGAGGATGATGTTAAGGCTGGTGAACTTACAACACGCAAGTTGACTGAGGTGCTCACAACCATCACACGTCTAAGTGAACAGCTACAAAAGAATACGATGACAGGTCTCATCCTCTGAACCTTATCTGCTCTGTCCTTGATAGGTTATGGAGCAATATATGGCAATGTACATGTCCTGTGTTAATGCTTGTCAGCAGGCCATTATTACACGGTACCTGTACAAGGCCCAGCCTGTTAATGCTGTGACAAACATCACTATAGAAGCTGATGGCGGCACCGATGATGATATTGAAGTGTTGGGTGACTTACTAATGGAAGAGCTACCTCAGGACTTTGAGGGATTTGATGCTGGTGTAGAGGAGGGAGCAGTAACCAGTCCTCCCTGCCTCGGAACCCATCAACCAGCCCTGTGAAGCATTTCACTGACTCCATCATGAGAAGTTATTCTACAGTATGAGTGTATATAAATAATGTTATTAACAATATGTACAAGATAAATATGTATGAACACAGTACATTAATGTTATTTTCTGGGTGGGTTGTAGGTCGTTATAGGCGTGTTCAGGTGACTGACCGCAGAACTGATTAGGCTTATATACATGTACTTAAACATCGCTAGTTTTGTGATTTTGAGTTTAACGGCGATTAAACTGATACCAATTTAGTCACAAAACTCGAGATCCTACTGTACTTGCTTAGGTATTGTTCCCACAATGTGAGCTATTTATTTATCCTGAGAGAACAGGCACAACTGCTTTGAGAAATAGCCACAAATAGACTAAGTACAGCACAGCTGTGATGCGGGTGGGACCACGTAGTCCATGTGGTATTTCAAGATAAAGTGTACTACCAAAAAATGATGGCAGGAATTAAAAGTTCATGTCATTACTTGTGTAGATGATGTACTGTGCAAGGAATTAGAGAAAGACCACTATATTTACCTCCCACATTGCTCTCATATGGGTATAAATTGGCTCCTTCATAAGGTCCTTTTCCCATTCTACGACTTCTTGCTCACGATCTCTCTTGGCCTGTCTCATGGCCTCCATTCTTCTCTTCTTCAAATCCTTTTCACGTTGAACTCTGCACCCACGGACGCGATATAACACATATGAGAAAAAGTTGTCCCCTGCAAGGAAAACAAGGAAAAAATACTGTTAATGAGTTATTAATACTACAAGTACTTGATTACTACTACCAGTACAGTACAGATCTACCCCAATCCACATGGTTATGTTCCTCTGTAGAGTGTAATCATAAAAGTGAAAGTGGGTCCCCATAGGTAAAACTGCCCATTAGGAACAGTGTGGATATAGCACACTGCGTACTAAACCTTTGGTACACAAGGAGGCAGCATGGCCAGTACTTCATTTGACCGCATTCACTTCTCCAAGTTGTAAACTTAGGTATTCATTTACAGCTGGGTGAACTGGAAGTGCCAGGGAATCAAACTACCAACCCCTGGAACAGGAGGTGGGCACTGTATCCACTCGACTACCATGCTCCTGATTGTAATCATGGTGAACTGTAACTCAATTACACCCAAGGTGTAAATTAGGTTACATTCCAGGGTCTCAAATTTTATCCTAAATTTCACCTAAACCCCCAAATTATTTGTTATTTCTACTTGATATACCGACCAGTGATGTAGTTGAAACTAACATTGATTGTAATTTTAGCCTTTAAGGTTCACCAGAAGATTAGTTCCACAAGGGCTCACCTGGAGTCACCCCACAGCTTAACCAGCTTGGCCTGAATTTTAACCACCCCAAAACTACTATGGGGGGGGGGCCCACTCATCTTCAGGTGATCCACAAAGGCCAAAATTGTGTATGGGCTCACTCATTGCTGTATCAATGACATTAATTAAACCTTCCTGAAAGAGAAATTATGATTTCTAATTAGAATGTTATATAAAACAAATACTGAACATTAATGAACAATTTACTTACAAACAAAATACACATAACGAAGTGATATTGGTGAGGGGAAGACAAAATGGAAGTGCAAGCCTACAAAAAAAAAAAAAAAAAAATTATATATACTGTATATATATATATATATATATGTATATATATATATATATATATATATATATACATATATATATATATATATATATATATATATATATATATATATATATATATATATATATATATATATATATATATATATATACATATCTTGATATATATATATATACTGTATATATATATATATATATATATATATATATATATATATATATATATATATATATATATATATATATATATATATATATATATATATATATATATATCTTGATAAATCACACGGGAAAAGGGAAACAACGGAGCGCCTTAGCTTTCGTCTTTATTCAAGACATCTTCAGAGGCAACTGGATTACATGGACAGAGAGAGGCTTAAATATACAGGGTGACCATAAAAACATGAGGTCAGGTCATAATGATGTCATCCACTAATCCCCACACCAACCCACACATAGAGGAGCTTAAGAGAAGGGGGCGACGTGACTAGTCAGGTCAGGTCAAAAATAAGGGACCCACTAAATAACTATCATACATCTAGATCAAAGGTTTTCAAAGCATTTTTAACCTTGGGCCACTGACAAATAAATTTATGTAACATATCAGTTTTGAACTGACCATCACTAAGGTTTATTGATATTAATTCCTTAATCAAACTAGCTTCAACCAGAAGTCTTTCTGTGACAAAGATGATTTGAATACTTCTAAGCCTTTTTCCCAAGCAATGGGATGATTATTATTCTTAACATGAACGAACAGGACACTGCTTTCAGATGCTGTTCTGATATTATACTTATGTTGTTTGATTCTGAGCTGCAATGTTTTTCCTGACTGTCCTACATAATTACCATTACATTTGCTACATGGAATACAATAAACACTTCCATTTACATTCAAACTTGGGCTATTTCTTATTAACATATTGGTAATAGTCGAGTCATACTTGAAAACAACATTAATATTTAGAAGCTTGAGGGATCGAACTATTGTATTCCATGTAGCAAATGTAATTGTAATTATGTAGGACAGATATGGCGCGGCTCGCTAGCTGCTCTCGGTAAATAGAACCCAGAGGGTCCCGTGTTAAGTGAAATCCGCGTTAAGTGAACAACAGAACATATGGGATTAATTCCAATAGAAACCGGCCCGACCCCCAAACTCCACTTTTTGAAGACACATAACTATGTTGTAGTAAAAATAACATCTTAATTTTATGATGGTACATGCACACAATTAATACTTAAGAGAAATAGAGAAATACAGTCGCCAAGTTAATGTCCATTCAAATAATGGACTCAACTCCCTCCCCCTCTTCTCACACTACACTGCTGGCTCTTCCCTCTCTGAGAAATTTTTGGGGGAAAACCACTAAATTTTAATAAATAATACCTCAAACTAAAGTTAGGATAATACAATTGACATTGCTGGATTCCTTGTAAGACCAGGAATATTTTGAATATAAATGTCATATATTTTGCACAAAAGATAACATAGTTACCCAGAGAAAAAATTTTATCTAAAATTTGTATGTCTAATGCAAAATATATGATGTTTATATTCAAAATGATCATCAAATTATAAGAATTCCAGCAATGTAAATTATATTCTGACCGGGTAATTTGTATGAATTTTATGAGCTAAAACAAATATCTTCAGTTAATAAAAAAAAAAAAATATTCTTCACAGGGTAACAGATGGTCGGTCGGTCCCTCCCTCCCCCCCACCCCCCACCAACCGTCCCAAGGAGATGTGTGGGAAAACCAGAATACTTAACTTTTTTGTAATAAATAATACCTCAAACTAAAGTTAGGATAATATAATTGACATTGCTGGATTCCTTGTAAGACCAGGAATATTTTGAATATAAATGTCATATATTTTGCACAAAAGATAACATAGTTACTCAGAGAAAATTTTTTATCTAAAATTTGTATGTCTAATGCAAAATATATGATGTTTATATTCAAAATGATCACCAAATTATAAGAATTCCAGCAATGTAAATTATATTCTGGCCGGGTAATTTGTATGAATTTTATGAGCTAAAACAGGCAGTCAGGCAGGGTGGGGCAAATCTAAAAATAGCGTCTCCAGCCGGACACTCACAGCGTATATGTGGAAAAAATCCGTGTTAAGTGAAAGTTCAGCTCTGGCGAGGCACCGCGTATATGATAAAACGCGTTAAGTGAAACCGCGTTAGTGAGTAATACTGGCAATATGTAATAATAATGTGTGTGTGTGTGTGTATATATATATATATATATATATATATATATATATATATATATATATATATATATATATATATATATATATATATATATATATATATATATATATCTATCTATCTATCTATCTATCTATCTATCTATCTATCTATCTGTCTATCTATCTGTCTATATATATATATATATATATATATATATATATATATATATATATATATATATATATATATATATATATATATATATATATACTGTATATATATACAGTGACCCCTCGGTTAACGAACTCAATCCGTTCCAGAAGGTCGTTCGTTAACCGAAAAGTTCGTTAACCGAAACCATTGTTTCAATGGGTTTTTGGGTAATTGGTTCCAGCTCACCAAAAATTTCCTAAATTCAACAAAAATGGTAGACAAGTTCACTTACTTTGAGGTGTGTATGTAGAAGGCTCCTGGATGATGATGATGATGATGGGAATTACAATGGGGGTGGAGGAGAAGGAAGAAGAGAAGGCATTGGGGTGGAAGAGAAGTCACCCCATGGCACCATTTCACCCATAAAATTTTAGTTCTCTTGGTGTATTTCAAGATTATTTTCTTTAAATCAACACTGTACTGCATTATATATTGTCAATATGTAAAATATATTTCAAAACGACCAATAATTTGCTTGGAAACACAGAAAAAAGCGTTTAGTTAAAGAAAGTCTCAAGCAAGATGTTACCTCCAGTGAAAACAGAGAGACTAACGCCTGTTTGCTGTGTTAAGAGGCTGGATGCTGCGCTTTAAACTAGTCACTTTACCTTCAATTACGTGCAATAATTGTTAAAATGACTAAAAAATTTAATATTAAACTTTTAAAATTATTGAATAGTATAAACTTCTTGATATTTACTAAAATAGTTAGGAATTTAAGCCCTAGAACCGATTAATGTATTGGCGGACTGATACTAAAGCTGGTTGCCCGGCCAGTGCAAGCGAAAACATGTTGAGGTCGGTTCGTAAGAAATTCGTTAACCGAATTTTTGTTCGTTAACCGAATTGAAGATCCTTATGGAATATATATATATATATATATATATATATATATATATATATATATATAATTTCACATTATATGAAGTGCTCATTATAAATCCCAACTGACATAATTATAAGGGGTGGTAGAAAGGTCTTGCATTCAGGGGTAAAACAACACAGCAGGGTTCAAAATATTTGGTAACAAAGGTTGACCATTACAAAAAAAAAAAATTAAAAAAAACTAAAAAAAAACTTGATAATAAAAAATAAATAAAAATAAAATACAAGTGCAAAATTACCATTGACTGAGATCTTGGCAGTTTTGTTTCTGTGTTTCTGTGTGATGTCTTCAGGTGGTTGGCCAGATGTTTTCTCCAGCGTACACAGTTCTCGAACCTCCCTGTAGAATAAAAAGCAGATTATTTTTTAAATGTTCTTGTACCTACACCTTTCATACATAAACAAGCCAAAAGAGGAAAACTTACCCATGTCCACAGAGATTTCTTTCTTAAGTGAAATTTTTCTCAACAAAGCCTGGGTTGTCTACTGATGGGAAGTGAATGGAAAAGCAACACACACCTTACTTAAAAGTACAGACTTATCCCATCAATTGATAACTCCTTGTTACTGTTCCTACAATACTGTACTGTACAGGTATACAAGAAAAACCAATCACTCCAATGGGTCATTTGCTCAACAGAAAGATTTCCACACCAAGCACTCAATTCCAGTTATACAGTACAGTAGAACGTCGATTTAAAGCGATTCAATTTAAGATTATTGATTTAAAGCGACACCCACAATTAAGGACAAAGTTTTAATTTAAAGCGAATGTTTCCAATTTTGCGCAAGTCAATCTGGCACATCATATTTTAAATTTCGTGCCTAATGTTTCTCTGAGCACGCTACACTGTCCTAAGGGCAAAGCTGTACTGCACATGTACTCAAAATAATGTACTAAATGATTACTAAAATTTTTGTCTAGTGCAAACTATAGCATGATTATTTTCAAATTAATCACTATCTTATAAGAATTCCAGCAATGTAAATAATATTCTCCCCAGTCACTTCTGTGACATTTTATAAGCAAAAAACTAACTCAAGCTAAAGGACTTAAATGAACAAATAAATACTTCACTTGACCTTGGTGCCAACTGTCACTTCCTTCCCTCCCTCCCATCCCCCCAGCCAGGGTTTGGTGTTTTAGGCTTAAAGTTTTTATCGTATATAATGTCACAGACTAAAGTTAGGTGAATATAATTTCAATTGCTAGAATCCTTGCAAGACAGCGAATAATTTGAATATAAACGTCATATATTTTGCACAAGATAAAAAATTGTATGTCTAATACAAGCTATAGCATGTTAATATTCAAATTAATCACTGTTTATAAGAATTCCAGCAATGTTAATTATATTCCCCCCCATGTCAGTTCAGTGACATTTTATAAGGGAAAACTTAAAGTCACTCTTAAGGACAGATAAATAAATAAGCACTAGACCTTGGCATCAACTGTCAAACATATCACCTCACCTCCTTCCCCCCACCCCCCCATCTTCCCAGCCAGTAAACAGACCATTTCCTATCCCTTAATTTTAGCTGTGTTGATTTATGAGTGTTTCGTTTAACATAATACAACAAAAAACAATGTTTTGTTTATTCTAGATGGACTGAGGTGCATCTGGGTATACTTTCAGTCTTTTTAGTATTTTGTGTTCCTCTCAAGTACCAAACTAAATTATTCCATTGAAACAACACTTTGATTTAGCGCGAATTCAGTTTAAAGCGACCTCTCTTGGAACCTGACTCGTGTTATATTGACGTTCTACTGTATATATTGAACTTTTATTATTATTATTATTTTTTTTTAACAGGACACATAAAATTTAAAAATTTTATCTAATTTTTATCACTTGCCCTGGGTGCAGTAAAAGGGAAAAATTTATATGAATTGTAAGAAAATAAGAAACAGCAGCATTTTATACTTGAGTAAGATTTTTTAAATGGCAAATTTGTGAAGAGGAAATTAACCCTTAGGCCCCAGGTGACATTCCAGAAAGTCCGTCCAGCGCACCCCGGTTGACGTTCCAGAACGCACGCCTATTCCCGTCACTGTTTAAATCCCCAGAGCGGGTTATCAGGTTCCAGTGTGACTATTTGCCTCTCACACCACACACTGGGCCACAGGGAAGCTTCCTGAACATAATTACCCACTGTTCGTTTCATTTTCACTGTTTGTCTATTTCATCATGTTGTATCAAAATAATATTGCTAAAAGTAGTGTAGTTTTATTGTAGGGTAATATTACTGGAAAACAACGCTATGATTGTTATAAATGTATATATTTGTGGAATTATTATTATTTTATGCATTACTTGCTCTACCAAACACAAAGACAGCCAGGCAGACTGGCAACCAACTGGTGAGTGTTGCCAAGCACTTTATGAAAAATTATGCAAATAAAATATTCTAAATGAATTATTATAGCAAATAAGTATTAAGATCAGTAAATACATACATTATTGGCCACCTCGGACACAAAGGAGAGCTAAAAATAGCTTTTAAGTGTGTAGGGACCACGAGCGTCAGCTGTCAAACCAACACTGTCTCCTTATCTCTCTCCCTCCTCCCTCCCTCTGCGAAGTCAGGAAAGTTTCTAGAGGGTCAATATACAGTATAGTTCTTCTTACTTAAATTTTATTGTTTTATCATTTTAACAGGTAAAAATTTTTTTGGGGAAAAGCTGATTTTTCTCGATTTATCCCCAGGTGTGGGGTACTGCCACCAGCACCCTATCCCGGGGCTTAAGGGTTAATGTGATTCTAATTTCAACTCGCATATAAAACAATCAAACTTAATCTACTCCCTACATCCTACTCCTTTAGCAAGGTAAACAACATACTTAGGAAGCAGAGCAATCTTCTGTTCCATCATGTGTTCAAGCCGCAAGCCCTTTTTAGATATCGCGTTGACAGGTCCATAATACCGATATGCATTTTCTAGCATGATGCGGAGGTCACCGATAACCTCTGTGATAGTCTGGTAGTGTCCTGCTAGCAAGTCCTCCTTGACTGTAAGAGAAAATATATTCCATAATAATTATTATGATTGTACCTTAATATAAAATAAAAATAGCAAACTCCTGAGCATAACAGTTAATTACGGTGATATCTCAGTTACCCGGAATAAGTGGTACAGAGTGGTTCCAGGATTGAGAGACTTCTGGGTATGGAGAAAAATTTTCTCATCCAGGGAAAAAATTACACAACCCAAAATTTTTTCCAGTACTCGGGAACGTTTTCTGAGAGTCTAAATTACGCATCTTGCATGGATAGAGAGAGCTGTATATATTTATACAAATACCACTGTACATGTACAGTATAATATTGTAAATAAACAAAATACTGTATACTACTGTATACACTACATAATACAGTAATGTACTCATCAGCAAATGCTGTCGTCTAGAACTTGTGATGCAGGCAGGCCAAATGGTGATATGATGATACAGGATGGCCTGCCTTTGTCCTGTACCATCCCCTGTGGCAGGTGTTGTTAACTGTTGCTCTCCTCTCCCTCCAAGGAGGAGGGATGGTACACACATAGTACAGTATACTGTACATACACCTTCAACACACAAGCATACATTGTCCACTCTGCTATGTACAGTACTGTACTGTATATATGGTACTTTCATAATTACTGAATGTACAGTACAGTATCCATAACTGTAATCACTTTTTATGTCTTAACACTGCATTAACTGTATTCTTGGCTGATTACAGTAATGTATATGTTGGTACAGTAATGTACAGTACTGCACAATGCAGATTGTTTGCAAAAACGGCAATCAGCAAGCAGATAAGCTTGTACAATGGCAGCGGACAATTAACTCAGTGTCTCATGATGTAAGAGTTTGAAGAGATAGGCTGCAAGATACATCAGCCAATCATAGGCATCCCATATAGTCACATGACAATAGTGGCCAATTGTAGCTCACGAACACTCTAAACTTTCTGACCCATGCGCCTGGCACTTGTCAGAAACATGATGCAAATGCAATCTCTGGGAAATTCGTTCACATACATAGAAAGGATAGATTTTTCATGGAATTTCTCAGAAAGGTGTTAAAAAAAAGGCTATGGGAGAGTTCTGGGATCGAGGATTCCGGCTAACAGAAAAACTACTTATACTCAGGAGAAATTAATTAAGTATCAAGCCATAAAAAGGGGGGGAAAGAGAGAAATTGATGAAGTGGAATGAAATAATACTCAATACTAAATTTCATAAGGCATAAAAGGTAACAGATGTAATACCATACCATAAAAGCTCTGAATAATGGACTCATGTATGTAGAGACTGTCGGCTTTGGGGAATGATTCTTTTTGGCACCAAATTAATTTATGTAAAGCAGGGTAACATTTCTGGACAACTAAAATTAAGTTTGAAGAGACAGGAAATCTAGTTAAAATAATCTAAAGTACTGTTTAATGCAGAACTGCATATAAATAAAAGAACCATGTAAATTTCAAGACACACCAATGCTGTAAACTACTGTACATTGTAATGTGGCTTCCTTCCCACATTGTCAACATCATGTTACTATGAACTGATGCAGGTTTGATACCAAAAAAAAATGCTCTCATTTAAAGCACCAATTTTCAGGAACTTATATAAGATGATATGCTGAGACACCCTGTACTGTTTATTTTATTTTTTGTTGTAGAAGTGGACATGATATAATGAAGATTTGATTATACTGTAACTACAGTAATTAATGGGAGATGTTGACTGCCAAGCAGCTGTTTAGTGCATGGGATGCACCAACACCTCCACACATTAATATTTTCCACACGCCAGTAATTACCCACACACTATTACGTATTTATTAGCTACATGCTTGACATATACCCAATACTGAAAATTCTTCAACATAACTCCAGAAAAGATCTCTGGGAGTAACTGGTGGTTGTTGCCAATTACCTGAGGTCCACCAGCCTCTCATCCATGTGAAGTATGGGCAATGACATCAAGAAGAAGAAACAAAGTAAAAAAAGGAAATTATCCTTTGAAAACTCACATTAACTGCAGCAAACCACAGACACTGCCTGTTGACACTAAGAAAGAGGCATGGAAATGTCAGGATTGATGTTTGTAACCGAAGTTTATAACTGTAGGTTCAAGTCAAGCTCTCTGACTCTAAGGTTTGACCTGGTGTTGACTCATTGGTTTTTGAAGCAACTACTGGACTAAAGTATGAGTTTGCTTCAATAGCCCTTTTTGACTGGGTGAGGAACAGTTTTCCCTGTCCTGGCCCTGCCTTGGTTGGGTAATATCACACATTACTTGCCAAATGACCTACATTCCATAAAGTAATGGATGACTTAAACGTAATATAATAACATCTGAAAAGAAAAGCAATGTTGACAGTATGATTAGCTAATGCAGTACAATTACATAGTTTGATTTTCAGGAGATTACATTAAGATAAACTCTTACCATACCAAAGTAATGAGTTGTTTGATGTCTGCTATCAGTGTTATGATATGGAAAAGTTCAATATTGAAGTTCAAGAGAAGAACAGTCCAGTATATCATTATATTATCCTCAAGTAAATTCAAAGTAAAGAAAAAATCTTCACTTTACTCACTTTTCCTCAGCCATAATGGCTTCTTCACAACTTCCATATAATCTTTATTTTTGGTTGGTTCTATCTCAATAGGATCCATAAATGGAGCATTGCTTCCTTTTTGGTAATCTGACATCAGCTCAACCATAATTCTGCAAGAAACAATAACAATGAGTAGAACAAAATTAAGGTTTGCTTAAAAAAATTCTCATCTATTTTTTATTTTTTATTCCTTTATTTTCATGTACAGGTGCTATTTTAATGTCCATTTTATTATGTTCTGAATCATGGGATAGAGAAACCTAAAATAAAAGGGAGGGTAATGATAGGGGAGACTGGTGACAGACAAGTGTACAGTAGAAGGTAATGAAAAGATGAAGTATACAATATAGTACAGTATTTAAATATCACAATTTTCTATTTTATAAACATTCCGAGTCCCAATCTTGCGACATAACCCAAGGTTACTGTGTCAAAAAATAATAATCTGCACATTAAAAAAGTATATCCGCTCATGTAAGCCACAAATAAATCTGGATTAAGACATACTGTATTTATGAACAAATAAGAAAAGTTTTTTGCCAATTTACATCTCCTTGAAATGACACTGGAATCCCCCAATTTATATAATGTACACCATAAACAAATAATATCAGCTTTAAAAGACTTCAGAGAGAGTAATACAGTAGCTCCTCATCATTTGAGTTTGATCTTTGCTTTCTTTCTTTTGCTGTATCCTCAGCCAATGACAGGCAATCAGTTGACAATTAGCAAAAGTTTCCCTCATGTCTCATTTGATAGCAGCACAGGCATCACACCCAAGGTCAGACACACTTGCTAGGCAGTTTTATGGTCAACCACCTGGGTGTGTGGACACTCACTATTTCTCCATATAACTTTCAACCAGGTGCAACAGTCCCCAGGCTCCACCAACACATCAAGGGAAAAATAAAGATACTATACTGGATGAACTTCGTCAGGGAGCAGGTACTTCTGCCGCAAGACACTGCTATGGAGTGAATCAGAGTACAATCAAAAGCAATACACTGTACAGTATAGTCTTGATTTATGCGGATTTGGTTTATTTGCTTGGTCATTTACGTGGCACCTTGCCAGACCGACAATTTTTATTTACGCGTTTCATTCCATCATTTACGCGGGAAGCGGCGCGGACAGGGTGCACACAAGGTAGCCCAGTCAACAAAACATTACCGAGCTCTTCACCCGCCACCCACCACAGCCAGCCCAAGTCAGTGATAGTGAGGATATGGACTTTGAGGGGTTTGACAAAGAGGCACTGCAAGCCTCTGTGGTGGATAGTGATACAAGTGATACAAGTGATACAGGTGAGGGCCAATAATCTGCCCTCTGCCTCAGAACCAACCCCAATCCCCTTGTACCCAGCTATCTCTTCTACTAACGTAAGTGTTAAAAAACCTAATATTATTGATATTTCTCTTAATTATTAATTGTGTGTGCATACCATCATAAAATTAAGATGTTATTTTTACTACAACGTACGTATTGTGTCGGAAAAAGTGGAGTTTGGGGGTCGGCCCAGTCTCTATTTCAATTAATCCCATATGTTCTGTTATTTCATTTACTCGTTTCTCGATTTACGCGGACCTCCCCGGGTTCAATTGACCGCGTAAATCGAGACTTTACTGTACTTTATGAAGCAATGGAAAATGCGATTTCACGATTCGAGGTAAGCAGATGGTGGCAAGCTTGCAAGTCACCCCACGTGCCCGCAGCGTCTCCCCTCCCTCTGTTTGTGCTCAACCAATGCCTGTGACCCAGCATCTCTTGTGTTGTAGTACTTTCAAAACTTAATTGTTTCTGTGTGAAAATGGCCCCTAAAAGACTGCCTAGTATCAGTGCTAGTGATGCTAGTGGAGTGAAATGTAAAAGGCAGAAGTCAGTGATGACCCTGACAAAGTTCAATTATGAGACAAGTTAAAGGAGGGGGGATGAGTGCTGCTGTGGCAAGTTGGATGTTTAGTCCGAGAAATCAAACAGGCATTGGTTCCCTACCAGGAAATGTTTAAAGGCCTCAAAGCCAAGAACAAACAATTACCAATCATGATATTTTTCAAGAAAGAACCAGATGCTCACCCAGTTGATTCATCTCCCTCCCTCACTCAGTCAGCTGCTGCCGCCGCTCCCCCACCCTCCTCCCAGCACCTCCTGGCTGTGCGCCTTTCCACCAACCACCACTGCATCACCCTCTTCCAACAGTAATCCTGATGACTCCCCTTTGCTTCAGTAACAGATTTCTCTTAACTTCATCAAGCTCCAAACTTCCACATATGAAGGTAAGTAGTAATGGTGACTAAGTTTCTCATACACAGTATAAGTATACATTAGTACACTAAGGTAGTATAAGGTGCTATTTGTGGTTCTGCCAATTCGTGCCATTCCTTGGAACCTAACACTCACATATAGCAAGGGTTTACTGTACTCTGTCCCCTTGTTAGGTTTCTCTTAACAGACATTTCAATAACAACCTGATCTTATACCAATAAAACAATAAGACTACTTACCTGTATCCCAAGTTAAGTTCATCACTCAGATGATCTGTCTTGGTCTTGGTGATGACCCGTTTCTTAGGGGTGACAGGATGGTGAACTAGGAGGCCACCTCCCCCACTCTTATGTATTAGGCTTGAAGGGAGGGTTTGCTGACGAGACATTCCACCCTGGGGAGTCTTACCGGGGGACAGGGACGGAGTAGAGGAACACGACGTGGGGGATAAGTCTGATCCACTCCGCGCTGATTCACTGATAATATCACTCATGCCAGAATACAGAGATAAAGAAGACTTCTTTGATTCACCATCCTGCATGAAATAAAAAAAGAAAAAAAAATTATATATAGTAAATTAGATTGGTTTGTAGTCTGGATGTCTTAATCACACTCATATACTGTACAGTGGTTATCTGTGAATGTTAAGGAGGTAAGAACTTAACATAATTCACCAATAACAATAGTTTTTTATACAAGTAATACCATCATATACAGTAAGATCTCATATTTCGCATTTTTTAACTTCGCGAGCACTACCTAATGTACCCGGTAACCAAATCTTATACATATTTGGCGTAAAATATCGTGAATTTCGCGAGATCCAGCCAGCTGAATGCTGGCCACCGTCTTGAATGACGTCACAGCCCTCATACCAGTTACAGTCATTTCTGCTACAAAACATGTTTTGTCAACGCGAATGATGAATAGGGGAACGCTGTTTGTAAAACACGAACTTTTGCCTACAAATGTTGGCTATAGTGCGATTCCATCCTCAGCATTTTAAGCGTGGCGCGGGGTTATGCAATGTTTACAGTTCACGTTCGACATCACATGTTTAATTGATTCATGTCTTTTGTTTGTGAAGTGTTTTTTGATAGGTACTCAGTGAATTAATTTTTTTTATTTATTTAATTTTTTTTGCAAATTAAGCTGATTCCCATAAATACTGTGTGAAAAGAATAAGTAAAAAGAATGTTTCGCAGTGAGGACTAGTAATGGTTTACACCAGCGCTCTCTGTTTACATCACGTGATCAGCTGAATCGCGCGGTTTGTCAATTACTCCGTGATTTTTGCTATTTACTCCAATTTTGTCGTGTTAGCAATGAATATGGAAAGACAAGGTGAGAAGAATGTTTCCAAGAAGCGTTCTGGTGATCGAATTGCCTGTGGTGAACGTAAAAGAGTTTTACAAGTACGCAACTATCGCGTTGTAGCCAGTGCCATCCTAGCGACCGCCCGGGCTGTTATTGTGTACTTTCTTGGGTGGTGCTACCACCTGTCGAGTCAAGATAAATGACCTCTAGCTCTACTGGGTGTCCTGCTGGAGGGGGTGTATCATTTGGAGGTCATAAATGGGAAAATCAGAGGTTGATGTAGAGTGGCCAGTCTATTTTGTTATTTTTCCCATTAGTTTATGTATTTGCATTTGCTGAATTTGAATTTGGCGAAATTTGTCCAGTCTATATTACTCACGAAATACAAAATCTTACTGTACACCATTATTAAAAAGTTTTCTACTCTTCAAGAGGCTGTAACTCTGTCAATATGTTTGAAATTTAGAGAAAGACAAATTTTCAAGCCCATATGGATATAATACTTTGTAGCAAATTCTTTAAAACCACATCACAGTTAGTTAAGTTACTGTATCAATGAAGGCGTGTCATGAGTGGAGGAACAAACTTGCAGATGGAGTCCTCTGCTTTGGGTACAGGATAATAATACTGAATGCTAGAGGTAAGGCAAAGAGGTATCATATTAGACATAACACACTAGTGCTACACCACAAAGAAAAATCTAAAAGGTATGAATCTGATTTATAAGGACATGGATTCCTTCACTATAACCTGAGCAGTATTGACAAACCATGGGAGCAATCAGAGATGGAAAACCTCATCCCAGCTGCACTACTGTTTTGCCGCTGGAACGGGAGACCCCACACTTGTGACACCCTTCACTGTTTGCTCTCCTTTTATTATATGAACAGATAAAGGTCATACACAGTGTCTCCATAACCAAATTTGAAGTGTTTATCCTGCTCTTCCTGAGAAATAATGACTTTTTTTTTTATTACGGGGATTAGACCACCCAGGCAGAGGTCACTGACCCACATCGGGGCCTGGGGGGCAAAATAATAATAATACAGTAATAATAATAATAATAATAATAATAATAATAATAATAATAATAATAATTCAGATAAGTAAAATAAAAAAATAAATAAAAATGTGAAAAAATAATAAAATAATAATAACAATAATAATAACACTGCAATAATAATAATAATAGTATTAATAATAATAATAATACAGTACTGCAATAAATATAATAAAGAACCATAAAGAAATAAAATAAAAAAAGATCAAGAGTGAGAAACAATATACTGTATATGTATGTTGTGTTGTCAATGTTAAGAGAAACAATTGCAACCCTGCAATTGTGTGTAAATGAGGCAGAAAGTCACAACAACAACCTGGGACTTGGTCAAATTTTCGTGATGCCCTTTGGCAGTAGGGTCTACCATTAGACAACGCAATATGCTTCCAATATCTTCCCAGGCGGTAGTGCCTCCCTGTTTGGTAGCTGCCTATCTACCTACTAAAAATATTTGCAATATTTTTTAGTCAGTGACCTTGACCTTTAACCTATCAAGGTTAAATAATTTATTTGATACCCCATGGGGCCTTCACAGTTAATTCCTAGATATGTTTTTTTTTTAACATTAGTAACCTGCATTATTTTTGTAAAAAATTTCTTTGATATCATTTCCTGGAATACAAAGTCATAAAAGAATAACATCAATGACATTTTTGATGAGTCTTTTTCAGGGCATCTACTGTAATGCAGCAAGCTCCATCCCTCTACAATACAGTAATACCCAATAATGAATGAATAAAAAAATCTGGCTGGAGCTTCCACAGTGGCTACTGCCTCTATCATGTTTGGGGTGCAGAATTATGAAAAAAAAAGGAGGTAGTAATAGAGGTATGTAAAAGTACTTATGAATTTAAAACCACAAATTTTTTATTTTGCAAATTATCATGACACCACTGTATTTATTTGCACAGTGTAAAATCCTAGCATATTTTGTATATTATGTACAGTTGCTGGCTAAAGTTCTCCCACAACTTGCTACACAGGGCTGTGGGAGAACTTTAGCTGGCAACTGTACATAGAAGTGTGTACTGTATATAAAAATGTACAGTATGACAGTAACTACTGAATGCCGGTTCAGTGACACTTGACTCCTTGCGCAGGACAAGCAATCAGCTGACAAGTGAAAGTTTCCCCATGTCTCACAAGATGGCAGAGAAAACGTCACCCAAGGCTAGCTACTCAGATGACAGATTATTTCCAACTGTTTTTAATGTGGACTGCTGCTTTAGTAAATATTAATGAAGGTTAAAGGCAAGCAATGACACTTACCTTCCACAGTACAGTACATGTAGTAAAGTACAGTACTGTAATTAAGAAAATTATTGGAATTTGGGGGACTTGCATATAAATATTTCATTTAAATTGTTAATTGTGCATTCTGAACTGAGAATTCTGCCATTTTACAGTACCCTGTATCTGTAAAATGGCAGAATTCTTTTACTTCAAAATCTTTTCATACAAGCATAATGCATAATAAATTTCTATTAGTGATGCAAGTATTGGTTGGAGACCATTTCTCAAAGTGAAACTCTGTTTCCCGTTAGAGAACTGATGCAGCAAAAACAGTTTTCCAAACATCTTTGGGGCTTCCCTTAAGGCCGCGGCTGCACTGAAAGCGGGCAGGCAAGAGCAGGCGGGTGCATAAGACTTTGCAGCACTGTAACCCATAGATGTGGCCGCACAAGCAGCGGGCGCGAGCTGGCAACAACACGTGCCCGCTCTCAGTGAGGCCGTGGTCTAAGAATAATAATATTATAAAGTGTTGAAAATAAACAAGGTGCATTAGAAGACATTTTTTTTAATTGAAAAAATAATTAACAAAGGCATTAATGGCATTTTGTCCAAATATCCAGGCTCCAATAATGACCTGCAAAGAACTCTAATTCCTTTATCATACCTGTTCATTACTCTTAAAAGTTGTAGCAATTACTTCTTCAGCCTTTTCTTTATTTTCTAGATCTTCAGTATCCTCTTCTGATACCATTTCTTCTTCCCCCACACCTTCACCATCCTCTTCAAAATCCTCCTCATCACTGTATTCACTAGAACCCCCATCGTCATCCATTAAATCCTGTAAAATAAATAATACAAAAGAACTTTACCAATTTGCCCATTCCCGAGACTGACTACAGAGCAAAACTAAAAACATTACAAACAATCATGTACTTGTAACACTGTACAGTACCCAAATTACTGGGACAAACAACACAATATCATCTGAGGACAATGTGACTGCCGACTCTATGACCTCAACGTTACACAGGTAAAATATTAAGAGTATAAATGGAAGACTGATCTCAAAACCAGTTTTATAAATAAGTTGAGATTGAACAAACACAAAAAAAACACACACACACACAAAACAAACACACAAAACATACACACAAAACATACACACACACAAAACAAACACACACACAAAACAAACACACACACAAAACAAACACACAAAACATACACACACACAAAACAAACAAACACACAAAACAAACACACAAACAAAACAAAACAAACACACAAAACAAACACACAAACAAACAAACAAACACACAAAACAAACACACACACACACAAACAAACACACAAAAACATACACACAAACATACACACACACAAAACAAACACACACACAAAACAAACACACACAAAACAAACACACACACAAAACAAACACACAAAACATACACACACACACAAACAAACAAACACACACACAAAACAAACAAACACACAAAACAAACACACAAACATACACACACACAAAACAAACAAACACACAAAACAAACAACACACACACACACACACACACAAAACAAACACACACACAAAACAAACAAAACATACACACACAAAACAAACAAACACACAAAACAAACACACACACACACAAAACAAACAAACACACACACAAAACAAACACACAAACAAACACACACAAACAAAACACACAAAACACACACACAAACAAACACACACACACACACACACACACAAAACATACACACACACAAACAAACAAACACACACAAACAAACACACACACACACACAAAAAAACACACAAACAAAACACAAACATACACACACACAAAACAAACAAACACACACACACAAAACAAACAAACAAACACACACACACACACACACACACAAAACAAACACACACACACAAACAAACAAACACACACACACAAAACAAACAAACACACACACACACAAAACAAACACACAAAACAAACAAACACACACACACAAAACAAACACACACACACAAAACACACACACAAACATACACACACACACACACACACACACACAAACACACACACACAAAACAAACACACACACACACACACACATGCACACACTTTTCAAACACAAAACACACACACACACAAAACAAACACACACACACACACACACACACACACACAAACACAAACACACACACAAAACAAACACACACACAAAACAAACAAACACACACACACACACACACACAAAACACACACACACACACACAAAACAAACACACAGACACAAAACACACACACACAAAACAAACACAAAACACACACACACACACACACACACACAAAAAAAACTTGTAGGTCCACAATGGAAATGTGGATAATATAAATCTGATAAACCCACATAGGAAAAGGTAAACACTGGAGCACCTTAGCTTTCATCTTTCTTCAAGACATCTTCAGTGGCAACTGAATTTACAGAGACTGAGAGAGGCTTATATACAATGGGTGACCTTACATAGCATCAGGTCAGGTCGATGACATGGGACCCAGTAATCCATACACCACCTCCAGTGCAAATGAAAGAAAGCTTATAAAAAAAATGGGTGACATAACAACAGGTCAGGTCAGGTCAAGTCAAAAACATAACACCCACTAATCAACTACCCCCACACCCATTTGAGGTGGATGTGGGGTAGGTGATTAGTGGTCCTTATGTTATTGGCCAGACCTGATGTGATGTAAGGTCACCCATTGTATACAGTATAAGCTTCTCTCTGCTACTCCTCCCCCAATCATTGGATCTTCAGGGAGTCAAATAAACTTGAGGGGTATTTCGCCAATATGTAATTGTCAGTTATGCAAAGCGGCGGTGAATAGAACGTCGGTTTACAGGGTATACCTGTATGACCACAATGGGCTTGGAAAAGTCTAGAAAATTCTGGGTAGTCTGAAATTAGGCGAGGTTTTCTTATTTACCGTATTCAATATTGAGAAAAATAAGGCCAACCTTCCCACTGAGAGAAATGAACTTTGTTATTCACTACCCAACTCAAGGTTCTTGTGAGCCAAATTGTGATGCATTGATTGTCATTTTGTAATACAGTAACTAATTATAGGAGCAAAAATTATGTGAGTTGTCAACAATTAAAAACGAAAATACACTGCAGATGTCTTGTTACTACCCGCCACCATTAACTCGTACTTTCTTAATGTAATTGTTATTTGTCTTTACATCCTTAGATAAATGTTGAAGAATTTGACAGTACTGTACATAGAAATGCTTAGATTCTTGGTTAGTTACAAAAGAGAAAGAAAATTACCCCAAAATAATAAGTATTACCGTTCAGTATACAGTACAGTATACCCCATGTCTAACTGTCTGCTTGACACCTTGAAAAAGTGACCACTTTTGTGATTTAGTATTACAAACAGTAGTTCTTTTACCCAATGGTTCAAATTAAATGCACTTTAGCTACTCTAAGTACATACTATATATATTTATAATGTGTAATTAGTACAACAGACATATTACGTGCTGGACTGGTAACGGGTGGATACAAGGGGAGGGGGGGGGGGTTCCTGGGGGTCTAGAGCCCCCCCGTTTCATAAAAAAAAATTCAATACCCTTTCTTTAATGCAGTATTGTACTCAAGCATTTTTGTAGAGTAAAAAGTAATTACTATTGACCTCAGAATATCTCCTAATATCAAGTGCACATGGATGAGCTCGCCATGTTCCCTCCACCCATAACTTCTTGGACCTCCCCCCACGCCCCTTTTGATATTCCTGGATCCGTTACTGGGCAAGTGTCTAACTCTCCAGCATTATGCTGACACAAGTCAACATTAAATTTAACAGTCCTCTTTTGCCTCCAAGTTCGAGTTCAGCATATTCCAGTCTTTCTGTTTACCACAGAGTGTGTGTATATATATATATATATATATATATATATATATATATATATATATATATATATATATATATATATATATATATATATATATATATATATATATATATATATATATATATATATATAAAATCCTACACTAACAATATACCTACAAACAATACTCACCACATCATTAACCCTCTCGCTGCAATTCCCGCCCTTGCCATTTTATTCTGGCTACTGCCAGAAGATTTTTTCAGCCTAGGGTAACTTCCCACACCCAAAGGATTAAGAACAAGCCTGGCCATCATTACATGTCCCCTTTGAGGCTAAGGGGACTCTTGAAGGTGACTAGAGATGCCAATCTGACTCCCACACAGCCTCTGGGGAGTCAACCTTCACCTCCAGTGACAAGGTTTACCAGGGTGCCTTGGCCTTCCCAGATATTTTCCAAGTTACACTGCTCACTTCACAGTCACAGAGACAGAGTGAAAGCACTTGTCTCAAAACAGAGAGAATGATGATAATGTAAAAACAATGATAGAGGCCAGATCAAGTTCACAACAACAGAGGCAAAGCACTTTACAGTCACAAAAAAAACAGCAAAAATAACTTCAGACACCAAAACAAGAGTACAATGTGAACATTAGTGATGTCCTCTCACTATAAAACTGAAAAAAAAAGTTAACAACACCGATACTGCCAATAATCATTGAGCTACATGATCACAGCCATGTGCGATCACCATGAAACAAAGCTTGATAATGGAGCGCACTGGGTGGTCGCATGGCGGCACTCAGGTAGACCGAGAGAAGTGTCCACATTGGCCGGACAATTCATGCGAATTGTTTACATCATAAATAGAAGGGGGGGGGGCCTCAATACATCACCATTGTTAAAGCAGAATATCATAGATAGGGAGATCATAAATTGGGTGATACCTGTAATTAGTCACCTGGCAGCTTAGGAACTGTACATTCTAAAAAAAAAATATAAACATACTCATAGATTAAAAAAGGGGAGAGTTTACTCAATGACAAGCAAAGACCATGTTGGAATGGCTAAAGCCTGGCATCTAGCCAATACCACTAGAGGTTACACAATCAGGGTAATAAAATGAAAATTCTCAAAGGAAAAGAAAACATGCTTACCTGTGGCAGTTCAGACTGGTTTGTAATGAATCTTTCATCTTGAGGTGCATGAGACCCTGAGGTTTGAGACACATGTGGAGACAGACTGTCTGATAACTCTGACATCCTGTCACCACTTTCTTCCCCAGCAGATTTTGGTGAACCACGGCCATTTTGTTCTGCATGAAAGGCTGAGAACACAGTCTTATTACCTCCACTGATTCTTTCTTCAGATTCTATCTCAGTGGCTGAATGGGAGTCCCTGGGTTGGTCAGTGTTGTCCATGATGCTTTACCTCTTGATACATTGCAGCTAATGAAGTGAAGATTCCATCTGCCAGGATAAGGTGAAAAATACTGCATGAAGTAAAATGAGACACCCATTTAGATTTTCTCTGTATTATTTAAGCATTCCCGACTTACGACCTGGACCTGGATTTGGGTCCCTAACCCCGTTGTAAGTCGGGGAGGAGCTTTATATACATGTATGTATGTATATATATATATATATATATATATATATATATATATATATATATATATATATATATATATATATATATATATATATATATATATATATATATATATATATATATATATATATATATATATATATATATATATATATATATATATATATATATATATATATATATATATATATATATATATATAACTTGAAATTACTATTGTATATAAGAAATACCTCGCCAACCACAGTTTGAGTACTGTATTCACATGTTATATACCAGTAGAGTACACTGGTCTACCAACCATGGTATCCAGTCTCACATATCCATAGTATCCAGATTAATGGCAATGCACAACAGGAATTTTCACTGGATCAAGTCTATTGTGTGGCCTATATCTTCTTCATAAACAGTATACTGTACTGTACTGTACAGGTATTCTCTTTAAACCAATTTGCTTATTTTCATCCTTCATATAATACTGTAAGCTTAATGGCCTTGTAATGTGCTGGTAATAATCATCACTTAAAGCTCTCAGGGCCAGGATTGCAACCAAACCCCTCGTGGTGGTTATGCCTTTATTGAAAAATACATTCTAAATAATAAGGAAACCAATATCTTATCACAAAGAAGGAAATATATTCACTTAGAAATTGTTATAGTGTTTTGGTAAAATGAGATGAATAATATACTGTACCTGTGTTGTACACTCAGCACTCACAAATTTAATATAATTGGGGCTCTGGGAAGATGCAATTAGCCAAAATACCGTATTGAATTATTCCAACATAAGGAAATTACCACACAGTTTTTGGATTTTTGCTACAACTTGCCAAATTATTCAAGAAATTTATTTTAATTTTTATGGCAAATGTGTTTTGATGTTTGCTACTGGAAAATTGTCGGGATTAACTCCAAACTCCAGTTAAGTTTATATATTTAACTACAGTACTGTACATCCTGACATAAGCATTTGGGTCTTCATCAACTTTTTCGACTGATCACTAAAGCCAGTTTAATTTTATTCAGATAAGTGAACTGCTCAGTGCGTTGTTAGTAGCACATGAGGGATTGTGGGTATGGTCACGTGACAGTGGCTATAAGACTGCAGGGCATTAAAGCGAGCTCTACCTGACTGTGGTGTGTATGGGCTCCATAAGCACTGTTTCATACGCTATTTCTGCCACATTCACCACCTGTCTGCCCGTCTGTCTGCCCTAACCTGCCCTCCTCTGTTCTGCTCACTAGACCCTAATCTGCAAGTGTCGAGAAACACCTTTGGACGTTTATGTCACCAACTAAGACTCACTCACATGTATTGTATAATAATGAGTACAGTAGTACCACATTTTACGACACATAAGATGCACGGCCATATAAGACACACCCCCCCTATTTTAGCAGGGAGAATTTAGAAAAATCTGGATGTATTTTCCTCCTGTAGCCATAATTTTCTTTCAACAATATATACTGTACAGTACATTATAGTCTCGACTTCCGCGGATTTGGTTTACGCGTTTGGTCATTTACGCGGCACCTTGCCAGACGGACAATTTTTATTTACAAGGTTCATTCCATCATTTAGGCGGGAAGCGGTGCGGGCAGGGTGCACACTAGGTCGCCCAGTCAACAAAACATTACCGAGTTCTTCACCCGCCACCCACTACAGCCAGCCCGTCAGTGATAGTGAGGATATGGACTTTGAGGGATTTGACAAAGAGGCCCTGCAAGCTTCTGTGGTGGATAGTGATACAATTGATACAAGTGATACAGGTGAGGGCCAATAATCTGCCCTCTGCCTCGGAACCAACCCCCCATCCCCGTGTGCCCAGCCATCTTTTCTACTAATGTAAGTGTTAAAAAACCTAATATTATTGATATTTCTCTTAAATATTAATTGTGTGTGCATGCCATCATAAAATTAAGATGTTATTATGAATACAACATACTATTGTGTCGGAAAAAGTGTAGTTTGGGGGTCGGCCCAGTCTCTATTTCAATTAATCCCATATGTTCTGTTATTTCGTTTACGCGTTTCTCGTTTTACGCGGACCTCCACGGGTTCAATTGACCGCGTAAATGAAGACTATACTGTACCAGTAAATGTGAGGAATAAAAAACAAAAACAAAATACCAATACATAAGTTACAAGAAAAAATACTGTAAATAGCCAAACCAGTAAATAAAAGCCAAATGAAAGATTAACACAATCACCATTTGCATAGACAATAAACCCTCGATAACTCGGAATTTCATATAACTCGGCATGGATATGGTCTTAGAATGTATTATAATATAACTCAGGAAATGCCCAGATGTATAAAATTACCTGGGAAAAATCTCGGCATATCTGGTCACCTGCATCACCTAGCATGCCTGTGTCACCTAGCATGCCTGTGTCACCTAGCATGCCCCTGTGTCACCTAGCATGCCTGTGTCACCTAGCATGCCCCTGTGTCACCTAGCATGCCTGTGTCACCTACCATGCCCCTGTGTCACCTTCCATGCCCCTGTCACCTAGCCATGCCCCTGTGTCACCTACCATGCCCCTGTGTCACCCAGCATGCCTGTGTCACCTACCATGCCCCTGTGTCACCTTCCATGCCCCTGCTCACCCAGCACGCCTGTGTCATCTACCATGCCCCTGTCACCCAGCATGCCCGTCACCTAGCATGCCCCTGACTCACCTAGCATGCCCCTGTGTCACCCAAGTAGCATGCCTGTGTCACCTAGCATGCCCTGTCATCTAGCATGCCCCTGTCACCTAGCAAGCATGCCTGTGCCACCTACCTTCATGCCCCTCTTGCAGGTCACCTTACCATGCCCTCTTCTTGCTCACCTTAGCATTTCGCCCCCCTTGTGTCACCTTACCATGCCCCTCTTGTGGGCTCACCTACCATGCCCTTGGCCACCTAGCATGCCCCTGACTCACCTACCATGCCCCTGTGTCACCTATAGCATCCCTGTGTCACCTAGCATGCCCCTGTGTCATCTACCATGCCCCTGTCACCTACCATGCCCCTGTGTCACCCTTCCATGCTCCATCACCCAGCATGCCTCTGTGTCACCTACCATGCCTCTGTGTCACCTACTATACCTCTGTGTCACCTACGATACCTCTGTATCACCTACCATGCCTCTGTGTCACCTATCATGCCTCTGTATCACCTACTATATCTCTGTGTCACCTACGATACCTCTGTGTCACCTACCATACCTCTGTGTCACCTACGCCTCTGTGTCACCTACTATACCTCTGTGTCACCTACCATGCCTCTGTGTCACCCATGCCTCTGTATGCTACTACCTCTGTGTCACCTGTGTCACCTACCATGCCTCTGTATCACCTACCATGCCTCTGTGTCACCTACTATACCTCTGTGTCACTACTATACCTCTGTGTCACCTACATACCTCTGTGTCACCTATACCTCTGTGTCACCTACTATACCTCTGTATCACCTACCATGCCTCTGTATCACCTACCATGCCTCTGTGTCACCTACTATACCTCTGTGTCACCTACTATGCCCCTGTGTCATCTACTACCATGCCCCTGTGTCACCTACCATGCCCCTGTGTCACACCTACCATGCCTCTGTGTCACCTACTATGATGCTTCATTCTTCTCCTGCAGTGCTGGTAAGTGCTACACTTTTACATTTAGTAATTATAGGTACTGTACACTCACGTGCCATAGTTTCGATGCACCCTCTACCCCTACACCTGGCTCGAGGGAAGTCGTAGTCAGGGCATGCACACCGAACAGTCCCTCTTGTATGGTGATGTTAAGTATAGTGATGGTAAATGAAGTGTTGTGAAGTCACTAAAAACCTGTATTGTGCATATATTCTCTCAAATATTACATCATGAACTGCTATTTGTACAATACAGCAAAGCTTCGAGCTACCACATTACACCACTAAACAATGGGTGGGGGGGACGTTCGGCATGAAGCCAAGGCTACGACTTCCATCGAGTCAGGAGTAGGGGCAGAGGGTGCATTGAAATTATGGCACATGAGTGTACATGTACACATATGAGTCATTAATTTTTTACTGTTGTATTTTTGTAGGAGGGGGAAGTGCCTCGACAAGTCGAAATTTGGGATAACGTAGCAAGGCCAGTGTCTCATATGTGCCGAGTTACCAAGGGTTTACTGTACTGTACAATCAAAGACAAAAGTTGTGTCACGGTTTTGTCCGAAGATTAAATATAACTCGTGAAACATTATGAGAGCCTCCTACCACAAGGCAGAGCGCACCAAAAGTTTTAGCATATGTTTTCACCAAATTTCACGACACGACTTTTGTCTTTCATTGTACATCTATACTCTATGTTCACCATAGCAGCGTAGATGCTACCTTCACTGACGCCCTAGCAAGGCGCCCCTTCCCCCACCAACCGCCACACTGTCCTCCCCTCCCTCACTGAGTCAGCTAACTTCTGCGCAAAGAAATGTATACAGGTATTCCCTTCATGTGTTTGCCCCTAGGATAATTATTTCTTTTACTTTTCACAATATGTATGTAGGATGGTGTGTGCATGTAACAGTAAAAATAAATGAAGAAAGTTATGTATATCTACTTGAAAATACGAGTTGAAAAACAACCATAACAGCTTACACCTTGGCCCAGCAGCCTGGTGGTTACAGTGACGAGTCTAACCTGGTTACAATGCCGCCAGAGATGTTAACAGATGTGAATGTGAAAAGAAAGTTATCTGTAAATCTTCATTTGTATCAGGTATTTGTAGATTGAAAAATAGGTGTTGCAGGTATGGCATTAATAGAATGTAATGCTTGTAAGAGTTCAAAAATGGTTACTGCTTAGGTACCTCTCAAGAGTTGGGTGTGTGCTGTTTAGATGTTAATCATTTCAGGTTATCATCATCAGTACAATAGTTATAAATCGAGCTTTGACATTTATAATAATAATTTTTAATTAATTAAAAATAATAATAATAATGTGTTTAAGTAAGCAATAACATATTTCAAATTCTGGAGTCAGGTTAGGTAGAATTTAGCCTAATGAAGACAGCAACTGGGGGATTCATTAGCTCATTGTTTAGTTTAGTTTTAGGATTTCAATTTGATTAAGGGTTTATTATATGTGAATTATAATAAATGCTGATTGTCTTTATAGTTTCAATTTACCCTAATACAGTACTATGCTATAATATAATAACTGGAGTTAACTAATACAGCATACCCTGACATTTCGCGGTCCTCGATTATTTGCGGATGACAACCTGGATGTACCCAAGAATGTCTGCGGGTAGTTTTAAAGTTGCTGGCATTTTCACGGCCGGGACAGGGGGCTATTTGTTCAAGAGACAGTAATTTTATGAGGAAAAAATTGCCATATGGCAACCCAATCAGCTCGACTCTAATAACAAAGCACGTAGTTGACTTGTGGGTAGGCTCACATTTTTTTCTACATTTCGATACATTTTGTTGTCTTGTTTCTGATTATTTGTGAGAGGATTTTCCAGTTATTATTTATTTGTACGCAGTTCATGTACGTGTGTGTGTGTGAGTACACACACACATATACATTCAGGTAAAATAAATAATTGTCCTAAGGGCAAACACATAAAGGGATTATACATTTCAGTGCACACGAGTAAAAATGTACCCCCCTCTTGGTTAGCAAATGATATTTGTGGATTTGGCTATTCGTGGCCATTTTGAGACCCAAACCCCTGCGAATTTTAAGGCCAAGCTGTATTAAAGAATCTTGGAGTCATGGTTTTGCCATACACTATTCATTTTCATATTAATAAGGAAATGAGTAAGGCAACTTTACATAAAACACTGACAGAAGTCTAGCATGACAAAATCTAGCATTGTTTAAGAAATGTATACAGTACTGTATACTGTAGTACTCTATATATACGTCCCTTACTTTGAAATTAATATGAATACTGTATACAAAATATAATTACAATACTGCAGTTGAATTACCTGTTAACCCGTTCACTTTTAATATTTTATTTGGCTGACGCCAGATGAATTTATTCAGCAGAAGGGGAACCCAGTACAAAAGTGGTTAATTGTTACCTAGTAGTGAAGAGTTGTGCTGCAATGCTGACCTCCAGCACAGTAATGTAATTATTCTAGACTAAAACTTTTATTTTGGTCACTAATATATAATGCTGCATTAAATGTTGTACATACACTCCTTGGGGTGTTGAGGCTCTTGGGGATCCTTGGAACCCATGGCTAACAAAAACAGGGCAAGTTTTAACCCAAGTAGACCATCCAAATGCTGATACCATTTTGATGCCAGATTGCTTTGCCTTGAGGGTGTCTTTGTGTAATGCACATTCAATGTACCGGTAATGTAACAATTCTACAGTTATACCCCCTGTATTGTATAAAATAATCATACAGGTACAATATAATACCTGTAGCAGTAAATCAACTACTAAAATACCCCATTTCCTATATAGGGGTATCTTAATTTCAATTGTCCATAATAACTAATACAGGGTAATATTGTTTTTACTAACCCTGGATCAGGCCATAGCAGCTGCCAGTGAAGCTGCTGCCACTGCTGTCAGCATCCATAAATACCAAGGGCTAAGGTGCCTGGTACAAACTAATAGAAACAAATTACACCTCAATGGGCTACATAGCCACACATCTACCACAAAACCTAAGCTGACTGATGTAAATATGGAACAGCAGATAGAATACCATGTGGTTTGTGAGCTAACTGATTAGCTTCTGAGACCAAGTAATATTCTGTGACGATAAAACATTCGGCTCAGACCAACCCAGATACTGTACAGTATAGGAAAGTTTGACACACACCAAAAACAAGATAACCAACCCCTTTTCCCTCTTAACTCTCTCTGTTAGCATGTTTATCCATAAGTCAATAAGAACCAAATAAAGCCATCAGTAGGATATGAATCCTTTACTTTGTATTTAATATTATTATTTTGGTTTTAGATATGCACTGGGGTATGTAATAGGTACTGTAGCAGGAGGAGTGGACGGGCTACTGCTGGCCAATATGAGTGGAAGCATTCCAATAGTGTCGGGGAGCTGGCGGATTTAGGGCTGGGCCAGTTCACCAAGGGGTACAACTTACTGTGCAGGTATATAGAAGTTTTGGAGGTCCTACTACCTTTGGTGATGGCACCACTATTTACCTGAACCAACAGCATTTTACCTAGTGCAAGGCAATACAGTAGTCCAATCCACACTTGTCGGTCGTCAAATGATTTCAGGAACACCCTCAAATTACCCTCGTACCAAATCCTCGAAAATCCCCCAACCTTAACCCCTCAGAGCATGTCTGGGCAGCGCTGACCAAGGCAATGGCCAACAACCAAGTCCACCGTTGCCAAGATGTGGTCATAGCTGATGCTCTAACCTGAGAACAACTTCAAAGCTAGGCTGGGCGAGACTTAACAGCTGAGCTGGTGGACTTGAGAGTGTGATTGACGAGTTAAATAAAATCTACACAAGAATAGTCACTTCCTTTCCAAGAAATAAATTCCTATCTACCTAAGAAGCAAATGGTTCTGGATTTATATGATTTTTTTATATTAGTTATAATACAGTACAGTATTACAACATTGGAACATATGGTAAGTCTTAAATGCACTGCCTGGTAACTTCTTATGCACAACATTCTTATTTACGTTTCCTGTCATGTCACTAAAACCACCATGAAACATCTTGTCATTTAATTCCATAATGTATCAATATACCTGTAATACAATATTTGTTGTTTTAAATATGAGTGAAAGTCAAAATGAGATTACAGTAATTATGCTTATACTGTACAGTACAAGAGTGCTTTGATTTACGAAAGGGATATGGTATGTTCCTGACAGACCCTTTGTACAGTACAGGGTATATAGATTATTCATAAACTGAAGTAATTTTTCCATTGACTACCGGTACCATTATATACCTGTACCTTCCTATAGGGAAAAAAAAAACCCTCCCCCAAATGTAAAAATAGAGATTTTTGAGCATTTTTGTGTGGAAAACAACAAAGTACTGTACTGTACTTCTAAGCAAATGTATTTATAATAATAACATTAATGAAGATTATTAGGTGTATTTCCTTCATTATCAAATTCCTCCTCCTGTTGTGTGGGGCCTGTGCTGTGGCCATTGCCATGTTCTTGTTGGTATTTATGTGACAGAGGCCTAGATTCATCAATTTCTTCCTCCATATCAACATAATTGAAGTAGTAATCAGTTCTAAATTTCTGTAATCTTGTAATTCAGTAATCTTGGATACTTAATGAAGTCAATATTGTATATGTTACTTCTTTAACAAAGAAATTAAAATATATTGAAATGGTATATACAAAATGTATTTTTTATTTTGCCTCTACTAGTTAAGGTTATTCGGGGAAATATAAATTTGTACACAAGTCATATACTGTACTGTATACCCCAAGTACTGCAGTATGGATCATTCAAATACTGTACATTAATAGTTTGTCTCATAAAAATTATAATTTATGAACCACAGTCTTATAAACAAGTGATGTCATCAGCCCTTACCAATCACAACAAAAGCCAGACAATCAGTGAAGTACTGTAAGTAAAAATCCATGAACAGAAAAATTTTAATTTTAATTCAAGCTCTATCACCATAAATTAACCAACTCAGTAAATATTCGTCCATTGGCTGTGACCAGGTTTTGGTATGAGAATAGTTTTGTGTGTGTGTGTGTTTTACTCAAATCTGACCTTCATTTCTTGTGCAAATTAGCATTTTGCAAAAAATTAACATTTCATTTTTCACAAAGTCCTAATTTACAAAAATGGAAGTCAGATTTGAGTAAAACACAAAAAACTATTCCCAAACCAAAGAAACCAACCTACCTTACCTAACCTATAAGGAGTAGGAGGAAGGAGACAGCCAATGGACGAATATTAACCACCTAACCTAACCTAGTTTTGGTTTACTTCATATAAATCATCTGGTGTTGGTATGGTTTAACACAGACTGGGAAACTCAAAAGAAAACAGAACTTTTTCACTCTATATTACTGACAGCAAAGCATCCAGTCCCAAAGAAGAGTTAACACAAGAGTCTCAAAAGTTTACATTCATTCTCTTTTTTTTTCAGTTGCTTTTTACTTTTACTGCAGTTGTGACCACCAAACAAACACACACACACATACATACATATACACACACACACATACACTCCCTCCCCCCACCTTTCCTCCCCTTGCTATGAATTCCCCATCATGTTATTTCATTACCATAAATAATGTTTATGTCAAAAGTTAACTAAATCACTCTAGATTTAAAATTTTGTTAGTATTTTAAGTAAACTAACAAAATAAACAAATAAAGAAGTACTATAACCATGCACTCTAAGGTGTCTACTGGTGTGACCAACATTGTATTAGGCTACATTATCATATACTTTATACAGCCTTAATGGTTACTAGTACTGACAAGGAATTTAATCAGCCTTTTAATGAGTATTAATATGTACTTAAATACCTAGAAACATTTAAAAAGGGACAAAAGGGGGTTTCAAAACAAGGTCATAACGGGGCTTGACCTCAGTCCCTAGTACTTGGGTAATATAGCTTGACCTGACACGCGGTTACCTGGCCACTATTACGTCATTCATTCATCCCAGTCAGCTGTTTCTTGTTTACACTCCTTCACTAACTTCAAAATGAGTAAAGGATATAGTGGCCCAGTAAAAGCTTTCACAATACAAACCATTCACGACAACTCACGTAATTAAGTGTTAGTGTAATCCATCTTAGAGTTGATGATCTCAGGGGTCTCTGTAGCACTCCTGGCGGCACACACACCCTATAAAAGTGGACAATTAACCAAATGTCTCGTTACTCTCAGCCTCAACTGGCACAAACGGTGGCTTGTTTTGGCTGGTCAACTTCTTCCGCGATCACATACATTGACTCATATAAGGAAATATAATATTATCGTGATTTTTTTATTATAAATATTATTACAATATTATTTGTTGTATATATATGTAGATATAAGCTATAGAAAGTTATAAAAATTGATAATTAAATTATTTCATATGGCACTACTTTACAGAGCGAGTGTAAGACCTTAAGGTGAAAGGCAGTAACAGGGTATTGTGGGTGATAGCGGGAAGTTTAATTTACTAATTTAATAGCAAAATGTGTATAAAATATTGTGTAGATATGAATTATTTGTACAAATATTCATTAGATTGTAAAAACTAAAATTAATAAAAGTAAAATCAACTCAAGGTTTGAGATAATAAATAATCTTATATACAGACGACGGTCATTGGCAGGGATGTCATGGAGGTCTGACGGATTCAACTGCGATACCAAAAAAAAAATACATGTGTATTTTATAATATAAAACTAATATAAACATGCATTTAACAGTAACAATGGTCGTGTAATAAAGTAAATGCTAGTTATGAAGAATAAGGAGATAAAAAGAGGATTTGTCTTTATCATAAATAAACAGCAAGAATTAATGGCTCGATCTGGCCTTAAATTTATATAAAAGAAAATTTATGACTCAATTAAATTTATGAACACCTATAGTCATTTAATACTAACACAGAATGGTACAGAAGACACAGAGAGCCATGTTCTGCAGGTTGTCTAAAGGTAGTTGAACCGGTGGGACAGAAGGTAAGGCGAGGGTCTAGTTCCCTTTTGGTGTTATTCTACTGTGTAGGGAGGTAAGTCAAGGTACACTGTCACCTCTCTCTCTCACTCACTCACTCACTTACTCACGTGTTATATTCTCACTCAATGTTGCATATATTTATAAGTTTTTAATGTTTATCAAGTCAACTTATTACGTAATAGCCAATATTATTCAAAGAGCGCATACAAGTAGATAATATACAATTACTTTATTTTAAATTATAATTGAAATGACAATTTTTAATATTAATTTATTAAAAAATACTTGAACAATAATTAAGTTAAATATCATTAATATGCAGCTTTTTAAAGGACTTTACTTTAAATATTGGGATATTGTTTCGTATATGTACTTTAATATTTAATTATTAATTGTCAAAACATTAAACATAAACATTTATAATTTTTGTAAGAAAAGTAGATACCGTAATTGTATTTCTAAGTTATATATTTTGTAAATTTACCAGGAAATACATGTGTAAGGGGATAAATTATACATGTTGTCCAGAGAAAAACTACTGTGGTAATTTATGGAGTCTTTACAATACCGTAGACGTATATATATATGATGCTGTAAAAAGGTGGAACATTGTGATTTACAATCTGAAGTACAAACAGGATACAGGTATCTGGATGTATTAAATAACAGGTAAAATATGTTAATATATAGTGATTATAATATATTTAACTTGTAAACTTGAATTTGTGCAGTTAACAATACTTGTCTCAGTTAATGAGCTGTACACAATTTTTGCAGGTAAATGTTATGGTAGTACTCCTGACACTACCGGAGTACTGTGTGGCACAAAAGGTTAGCAAACTAGTGAATAATATTACTGTAAAATTAATATAATCATCAGTTTTGGAATAAGTTGAGTTTGAAGTCATCACAGTTATGTACATGATAACTACATTGTACTACTGTATACTACAGTATTTCATTTATTTTCTTAATTGCGTGTTATATACTGTACTGTAATTAGTTGTTTGGTTTTATTGTTATAGCAATAACTACAGCTCCGCAAAATGTTATTTGGTAGTTATTACTGAAGATCTGAAGAACAAGCTTGTAAGATATATTATGGTGAAAATATGGTCCCAGTTTTGTGTACGCCTTATAATATAATATCTTGTATACTATTTTACAATTGTTTAATAGAGAAAATCTTCATACAGCGCATTATAAGTGTTAGCTTGCTTTCAAATGAATATTATTTGTTTATCAGAATCTTCCATTATTATAATGTCAACTTTCTTATGAGAACCATAGAATAATTGGAACTTAATAATACTATTGTGTTCTGTAATATGAAGTTTAGAAATACTGTATATAAATCGTGTTAGTGATTGTAAATTTGAAAATATCATGTTACCATATTTTGTTATGATTAGGCCCTACAGTACAGTAGATGTTAGGGAGGTTGTGTCTGTGTTGGGCCAGTTTCATTAAATATTTAAATTCATATATACAGTACAGTAAGAAGATATATGTACTGTATATTGTAGGTTGAAATAGCTGTGCTGTGTTGTCCACTGTGCAGGTACTATATTTATATTTATTAAGTAGAGTAGTGTGTATTTCGATAAGTCTTTGTGTTTATGGTTACTAACTAAAAAAATATCCAATGAAACAAGATCAAGGTGAATATTGTAAAACAAGGCTACAGTGCTGTATAACTACTGTATGTACTGTATTACAGTACAAGTAAATGTAATGTGTGTTGCAATACAGTGTACTGTATTATGTACTGTGTAGGTCTAGTTGTATACTGAAGGACAAGGGTTCAGTTTAGGTAAAGATTTATTTTATCATCATCATCATCATCATCATCATCATCATCATACTTTTCTTTGAATTGGAATTTATTCAACTATAATGTCTTTACAGTACAGTACTGTATTACTATTCTCTCTGTATTTTATGGATTAAAAGGGTTGCAGTTATTTTTACTTCTTCCATTTTTATAAATAAGATATAGTATCAAAGTTTCTTAAATTAAATGCATTGTTTTGTATTGAAATATGAGAAGAAATATTTGTAATAACATTTGCTTATTAGCAGTTTCAATATTTAAACATTTTGCCTATTTTAGCCAAATGTGAAGAGGACCTGGGTGTGCATGTTGACAACAAATTAAAGTTCTCCGACTATTGTGAGGAGAAGGTAAATCGAGTACATAAAGTAGTAGGTCGTATATGAAGGGCGTTCACGTATAGTGCCTACCGGTAGATCTTCCATTTCTGATATTGCTCTGCAAAATCGATGTTCTTCCCCTTTGGAATACAGTACTGGACTGTACTGTCAAGGGATGACTTAACAGAAGTCTATAAGCACTTTGGAGGATATTACTCAGTCTAGTGTTCACACCTGGAGCTAGCAGAGGCCCCCTCCCCTCCCTCCACTGAAGGTCACACCCTCACCTTGAAGCCACAAGTTCAGAAACTTGTCATATAATAGTGCCAACAGGTGCTAAATGTTCTTATTTGGCCACTATACCCTCCTTGTTAATTACAATCAAATCCAGTGGTTTGAGTGTTTCTTCATCTCTTAACATGTCAGAATAGGAAATTATCTCTCAAAGTTTCTTTAAAAACAGTTGTAGGGTTATTAAGGTCATGCAGTGGAATTTCATTTTTCCAGTCACTGTCCCCCATGACAAGGAGGTGGCTAGAGTTGAGTACCATTGTGTTGTCTATACAGCTCCTCCCCGACTTACGACGGGGTTAGGGACCCAAATCCAGGTCGTAAGTCGAAAATGCTTAAATAATACATAGAATATCTAAAATGGGTGTCTCTTTTTCTTCTCAGCACCACAAAACTCACTTTTAAGCTTGCCAGCAATTTTAAAGTGAATTACAAACAAAAAAATTTGTCTGTGTACTTATGTTGGGACTCGAAAATACGTAATTTGACAAAATTTTCGTACGACTGAGGCAGGTCGTAAGTGCGGGTGGTCGTAAGTCGGGGAGGAGCTTTAGAATTTTTTATTTCATTGGTTCATTTAATTACAATTCGGGGATCTGTGAATACATCCAGTAAAGAGTAAGTCTCTTCCCTTCAGTTTAAATTTACACCATTTTGATTCTTTAAATCATCTTCCCCTGCACCCTCACCTGACTGTATAGCTCCTTTCTAGTTTAAATAACTACACCCCTTTTACGGATTTTCTTGGGGATATTTGTGGACGAGTCAAAGACATCATAATTAAACTTGCAATCTTCAGGATTATCTTTTCTGTTCTTGCAAACAAAAGACTCTAAATTTGTTTGGCCACCTTTGTAATCTTTTCTTTAGTATTGTACAGTATAAATGAAAATACATGTACAATACTGTACTGTATGCTAAAATAATGCAGATAATTTTTATTACCATTATGCTTACTTGCTTCACCTACATAATTCATTATTCTCTAACACTTGCAATGTTATACTTTTACTTTTTTACTTTTATCCTCTTCGCCACTGATCGGCTCGTTAACTGCTTGGGCGGTCAGTCACATCTCTGTTACACACTGTTGCCAAGTATTGGGTATGCACTGGCTCCTGAATGTATCTAAACCTGCCCCAGTGTTGGTCAAGTCTGGTTTTGAAAGAGCTCACACTCGGTTCCATCACAACAATCTGGCAGATTGTTCCAAGAGTTTACATTTCTCACTCTGAAAAAGTTTGCCTTCCCAGTTTTCTGGATTTGTGGCTTCTTCAACCATGAGCTGTGACTTCTAGTGGGGTGGACATCTGCCAGCTCCAGGTATGGACACTCGACTGAGTAATGCCCTTTGATATTTTTATAAACATGAATTAGGTCACCCCTTGTCCGTCTATAGTATAAGCTAATCTCTGTGTAACTCAGGTGCCATTGTGCAGGCACCAGTCTGGTGGCTCTCTTTTGGACATTTTCAATTAACTGACAATCTCTAGCATATCTTGAGGACCAGACAGGGTGACAGTACTCCAGATGAAGAAGCATGGTACTCATGAAGATCATTATGAAGGACAGACCTTCTAGATATCTGGACGACCTTCTTATAAGACCTACTAGTTTAGTTGTTTGATTCACCTTCTTCTCACAATGTCCTGAGAACTTCAGTTCATTGTCAACATACACATCCAGGTCCTTTTCACATTGTCTCTATTAATGCAATTTCTTCATCCTGTTGGGATGTGTGATATGCCTCCTTACTGTTGGTACGACCTAGGTGCAGCCTCTTACACTTCATGACGTTGAATCTCAGCGAG